TGATCTCTAACCCGATCCTCCTCGACTAAGGGAGGATCTTCCTTTCTCCAGACTTTCTCCCTGGTCTCCAGGCTCTGGGATTCCTGAGGGCTGGCCTTAGCAGTAAAGGCTGAAGCAAAGAAGGCATTCAGCAGCTCTGCCTTCTCTGTATCCTTCGTTACCAGGGTGCCCACCCCGTTCAGCAGCGGACCCACGTTTTCCCTAGTCTTCCTTTTGCTAATGATGTATTTGAAGAAGCCCTTCTTGCTGTCCTTGACATCCCTTGCCAAATTAAACCCCAAATGGGTCTTGGCCTTCCTTGTCGCATCCCTGCATGCTCTCGCAACATCCCTATATTCCTCCCAAGTGGCCTGTCCCCTTTTCCACATTCTGTAGACTTCCTTCTTCTGTTTGAGTTTTGTCAGGAGTTCCTTGCTCATCCGTGCAGGCTTCCTGCCTGCTTTGCTGGACTTCTTACTCAGAGGGATGCACCTGTCTTGAGCCTGCAGGAAGTCATGCTTGAACCAGCTCTCCTGGACCCTCCCCTTCCTTCAAGGGCCCTACCCCATGAGATTCCTCCAAGCAGGTCCCTGAAGAGGCCAAAGTTTGCTCTCCTGAAGTCCAGGTTTGCGATCCTACTTATTGCCCTGCTTCCTCCTCACAGGATCCTGAACTCCACCATCTCACGGTCACTGCAGCCAAGGCTGCCCCCAGCCTTCACAACTTTGACCAGACCTTCTTTGTTTGTTAGTACTGGCTCAAAGCTTCTCCATAATGAGACTAGTAAAATCCAATTTTGCTCAAGAATGTGTGTACCGTTTTCTTCCCGACCAGACCTTCTTTGTTTGTTAGTACTGGCTCAAAGCTTCTCCATAATGAGACTAGTAAAATCCAATTTTGCTCAAGAATGAGTGTACTGTTATCTTCTCTCTTTTTGGGGTGGCAAAACTCAGTTTAGCTTCTGGCCAAGCATCCTTCCTAGGCAGAGGCCCTTCACAAAGCATAGTCCCTACCCACCTCCCCCTCACTTAGCAAGCAAGCTCCTGCTACATTCCCCAACCCCCTCCAATGGCCGCCACCCTTTGTGCACCCTGGGAAACAGGAGTGAACTGACCGTATGAGGGAAGAGATGACTAAAACTGGCACTGCTCCTGCCATGGATAACGACAGAAGAAAAAACAAAAGGAAGGAAAAAGAGGTGATGCTGGGAAGTTGGACTTGCTGTTCCATTTTTACTGGGGGGAAGTGACTGCTTTTGTTGCTTAAAAAAATGCCCGTTTTCTAACTAAGTCTCTCCAGATCTTACTCCAAACAGTAATGCTGCCTTGTACATCCTGACCTGACAGAAGTGTGGTCTGCCATCGCATCAGTTAAAAACACAACAGGCAGTGGGGTGACAGACGCTTCTTGTAGTGTGCCACCTCTGTCCAGAAGCGGCCTTGCTATACCTCTGTCCCAGATGGGAGGTAACTGCAGACTGTTCTGCTTCAAGTAATATCTTTTAGCAATTCCTAATATTTGGATGAGAAATACAGAAAAAAGATTGGAGGCCAATACGCTGCAATGACTGACAAGAACCTCAACTTCTGCAGAGACATGAGGAAGGACAGGTCCCCAGAGACAGTCTTCAGTTAAGTAGCTTTGCTCTCCCAGCCAGGAGAGGAGTACAGAGATAGCCCTGTCCTTATTTATTCACTTCTTCTTTGCATGGTTGTCACAAACTACAGAGACCTGCTAAGCCAGAGCTCTCAGCTCCCATCTGTGATTGTGTTTTGCCAGCATAAGCCACCGAACAAGATTCAAGGCAAAATAAAAGTCATACTTAATTCATTTGTAGGAGACAATCAGCTTGGAGGTGTCCTACTGAAACAGGATCTGCATTTCTTTACCCAAAACACGTTCCTCCATACACATGGACTGTTAAGACTTAACTAGTGACTTTTCCCACAAGAGATTTTTCCCTTTCGGAGATTAAAAGGCCTTTGGAAAAAAGTCTTTTGCTTAAACAATTGCTGTTTGCAGATGTTTCTCTTTTGTAATTACAGTACTTGTTATTTCAGGTTTTTCCATACCTGAAGGACTCTGAATGCAATCCCAAACCCCTCCTCAATGTTTTTTCCTTCCAGCATGACCTGAAAAAGAGAGGCATCAGACAAGTTTCAGGATGCACATTCATTTTTTTGTTACACACAGTTAATAGCAGTCTTGCTCACAGTTCTGAATTTTGTCCGGAAGCGGTACCTTTGCCAAAAGACAATTCATGACTTTGAACAACGGAAAACAGCAGCATCCTAACAAGAAGTGGGGGAAATACAGGGTCTACTGTTACACACTGATTCACTGCGGAACGTGGGATAAAGTTAAAGATGAAGCTGAGCTGAAGTTAGCAAGGGTAACAAAAACAGCATTGATGGCCTTGCTTCAAAACACAATAGGACGTACAACTGAAAAACCGAAAAAACACATTACTATTAGCATCTGGAATCCTCTACCTCTGAAACTTTGAATTTTGAGCAGAGTAGTTCCAGGTTCTCAGCTGTTCTCTGCTGCTTTGAGAAAAAAACATTTTTTTTTTTTTCCATAAACAGTAGGCCGCATACATGCACAAGCAAACTGCCCATGAATAGTACCAGAGGCTGCTCCAACTGTCAAGTATTGCAACGTTCACATAAGTTGGTATTGTTTATGAAAATAAGACCTGTTTGAAATAGCAGTAAGTACCTTGCAGGCAACGTCCATTTTCATGTTATTGTTTCCAAAGAGTGTGGGCAGGGAGGAATCTGTCATTTGAGAAGTTCCTGAGCTCTCACATCGATGTAGGAACTTTGTTACTTCCATCTGCAGCTCAACTGTATTGATGTGCCTAGACAAGGGGAAAACAGTTGTGTGGGTTTTTTACCTCTGAAACTTTGAATTTTGAGCAGAGTAGTTCCAGGTTCTCAGCTGTTCTCTGCTGCTTTGAGAAAAAAACATTTTTTTTTTTTTCCATAAACAGTAGGCCGCATACATGCACAAGCAAACTGCCCATGAATAGTACCAGAGGCTGCTCCAACTGTCAAGTATTGCAACGTTCACATAAGTTGGTATTGTTTATGAAAATAAGACCTGTTTGAAATAGCAGTAAGTACCTTGCAGGCAACGTCCATTTTCATGTTATTGTTTCCAAAGAGTGTGGGCAGGGAGGAATCTGTCATTTGAGAAGTTCCTGAGCTCTCACATCGATGTAGGAACTTTGTTACTTCCATCTGCAGCTCAACTGTATTGATGTGCCTAGACAAGGGGAAACAGTTTTGTGGGTTTTTTTTTTTTTTTTTTTAAAAAAACACTTTATTTTGAAATAGAGAATAAGCGTCAATTATTAGTTGTGTGAACTTAGTTATTGTTTGGAAATGTATATGTCTTATTTTGAAATGTGTTCTAGAAAGTACTATTTTGCTTGCTGTTTGACTTGGTCTTTGTGGTAGCCTAGCCTACAGCAATGAGGTACTTTTCAGATCTCTGCGTACAACATGCATCACAAATTGCAGGTGAGCAATTGTTAGCATTATTCTGCAGAGTGAGCTAGAGAATCTGGATCCTAAATAAATATCTGCTTTTTTCCACCTTTTCACAGGCATTCCCCCCCTTAAGTTGGGAGTCTAGCCTTAAAGAAGAGCAATCATTAGGAAAACCAAGATATAAAAGACCAAGTATGAGAGATATGTGCCTAAACTTACAGTTCAGCTTTTGAACATGGAGAGATTCACTTAAGTCTGGCTCCTGTAATTCACATGTAGTTGAATTAAAATTCAAACAAGCTTAACCAGCTCAATATCGTTGTCTGTGCACTGTAGGGTTTTTGTTTTTAAATTAAAGGAAGGTACATGATACACAGATTGATATGTTTAGTAGAAACAATGGCTTATCTTCTGGGTTAGGTTGTAACAGAGGGATGGTAACGGGAATGCTATACTTGCAACTAGGTAAAGTTAGATTTGGGTCAGGCACAGCTAGCATGTGTTAGCTAAAGCCACCTTTAACGCAATCACTAAAAAAAAAAAAGTACGAATTTCTCCTCTTTCTTGTAACTTAGCTTCCTGTTTACAGATACCTTGACACATCTGTAGCAGACATTTTCTTCCGGAAAGTGAATACCATTTTTTTCCTTCCTGAACTTCTTGAGACCTCCTGCAGGTAGACTTTGAGATGATCCTTGATTTTTAGGAGCCATGTCTGTTTGCCTCCCAGTTCAGTGTAAGACTTTGCTCCATGAGTGAAAAATCTAATGCAGGTCATGGCAGCACGAACGTGATCCTAGAAGAAACATACTGAACAATTGAAGAAGGATAGAAATGAACTGCCTTCACTAGTCCTTTGTACTAAAGTGCTCACACAAATCAGGCAGTGCTCCATTTTCTTTAAAGCAGTAGTTAAGCTACTGCAATGCACCAGACCCACAATAGCAACGCATAGCTGGTCAGCTTCAGCTGGACTCAGGCTTTCCTTTTTCTTAAGGAATGGAAAGTAGCAAAAGTCTGCTTGTCCATCACGCAGATTTACACCACATTTCAAAAACCACCCAAGTAAATAACCAAAAGTTTTTCAGTGAAATAGTGAATACTGTCAGAGTTGGCCACTCACCCTCATCTTACCTTCATGAACTGCTGCAGCTCATACAGGATATGGTAGTAGTTTTTTCTTTGCAAGTGTTTGCAGGCTGCAATCAAGTAGATTCCCCAGCTCTCCAATCCTGGATCAATGGTTTCTAGCAAGTTCTCCAACATATGTAGTTTCCCACTTTCATAACTTGGAATGAAGATCCCTTCAATGAACACTTCAGGTGGGGATTCCTACACGAATATCAGAAAAGCTGGTTGAAGCAAACCAGCTGTGGCACCTAGATTTCCCTTTTATAATATAAAGGAGTATCAAGTGACAGAGGTTATACAATCAACAGGTAATATAGGTTGGAAAGGATCTCCAGAGGTCATTGGGTTCAAACCCCCACTCAAAGAAGTTAGGTCACGTTGCTCAGTGCCTGTCTAGTCCTGAGCATCTCCAAGGAAAGAGATTCCACAGCTACCCTGCGGGCTAGTTCCTATGTCTGGCCACCTGCACTGCAGAAACCTTTTTCTTATACCCAGTTAGAATTTCTCTTGCTGCAAATCACATCCGCTGTCTCCTGCCCTTTTACTGTATACACTTGAGACGAGCTTGGCTCTATCTTCTCTATAATCACCCACTTGGCAGCTGAAGACAGCAAATAGACAGCCTTCTCTTCAAGCTGAAGAAGCCTAGCTCTATCAGTCTCTTCATGTATCATGCGCTCCGGTCCCCTAATCACCTTGGCGGCCTTCCACTCGACTTGCTCCAGTTTGTCAATGTCTGTCTTGTTCTGAGGAGCCCAAAACTGGATATAGTACTTCAGATGAAATCTACAAGTAGTGAATAGAGGGGAATATTTACTTCCTTTGACCTCCTGTCTATTGCTATTGCTCTTGCAAATGCAACCCCACATGTTAATATTACTATGGAAAGTAGTATGTGTGACCACACGACCTGCATAAAATTTTTAAAGGCATGATATGGAATTGTTTAATCTCCTTTTTCAATTGATTTTTTTAATCCCAGAGTAAGATACAAGCTACAAAGCCTGTATACATAAAAATGTTTTCACCAAATACCCATCTGCAAAATCGTCTGAAGAAAGATTATAACGTTTCAACAGAAACCCAGCATGTTACGGTCTTAAAGTAACAACCCTTCCTTTCTGGAATGTTATCAGCGTTAGTCTCCACATCCAAAACTCCACATCAAATTGTCTATCTAGAGTATTTTCAATGCTTACTACTTAACTAGTGAAATTATTTCACCAACGTTGTAAAAACATGTAAATTTCTTTAAAGATACATCTAAGCTGATAAAAAGGACACATTTGAAAAGTAAATTTGATAAACAGATGAGAATATGAGCTTAGAATGGCTGATGATATAAAAAGAAAGCAAAGCTGGTAAGACCACTTAAATAATTTCCTATTAATAGCAGATTGAAGACAGTGGAATGAGGTGTTTCAAGTAGCATGTTCTCAGTAAGAATTAGTTCAAATCTAAAAAGTCAGTAAAAAGCAACCACAAGCACAAAAGCTTAAAAAGATCAAAGTTATTTTTTCATGTCACTAAATTCTTGTTAGCCACAGTACATGTGATAACACTGAGGACCTCAGTAAACTCCTGCGCAGAAAACTGCCCAGAATACTGGATGACACTCATTGCTGTTTCAGACTGGTCTTGAGGCCCTCTTGGCTGCTTTTCAAATTCCAGTTTAGGTGATTGCAAATTACATTACTCACCTTATTTAACAAGTGAAGCAGTGCTTCTCGCATACAGTCATGCCTCATGTAAAAACTTATTATTGCTAGATTAGTGCCGTAACTGTGTAAATAGAACAAGCACTCTTGGTAGTAGCTGTGGTGTTGAATCTTCCCCTCAGACATCATCTCCAGAGACAGACTTCTTGTTCTCAGCGTTGCTTCAAGTTCCCTCAACGTAGCAAAGTAATCATCATCCTGCTGTCAAAGCAGAGAATCAATCATAGGTGATGAATAACAGGAAAACCTTCTCCGCAGAACTTCTTTGGGATTCTTTTCTACTAGATCTTGTCGCCTAACCCTGAAGCTTGTTTTCTTGTTAGAGTGCACATGCGTGTTTTAAATACGCATGGCTTTAGAGGGGCAAGACCCCAGTCAAGCTCTTGGTAAGTACTAGACTGGAACCCTGCTATTGACAGAGATGTTGAATATAGCTGTAGCTAGAACGGCTCTGTCTCCAGGGAGGGACAGGAGGCTTGTTTATTTAGAAGTAATTTCACTCTCAAGAACTACTTCAATAAGCTAGTCCAAACTGGCTTTCTTATTCTCTTAGAACGCTTTCTACTAAAAGCTCTTTCATCAATTCAGTACTGCAATTTAGCCTTAAAAGCCTTTTTTTTTTTTTTTGTATTGTATGTAATCAGAGCTTCCAAAGCTAATCCAAAACCATGCAACAGCGCTTTCTGCCAAGGAAAGATGAGTGGGACAATATTCTTTGCATTTGTAATTTTTCCTTTGAATTCCTGCAAAGTTACCAGTTTCAGCATCACAACATGTGGTTGGGATGGAGTGTAGTTTCCTCAAATTGTAAGAAAGAGCAGCTTCTTTCCCCTCCACTGAGTACACCCCAAATTACTAAGAAAATTCTCTGACAGGGCTATCAACCATCAACTTACTGTGAGGAGACAGCCAATGAATTTCTCAACAAGATTCAGTTTGTGATGCATAATGATGACAAAAGGAGAAAGAGATATGATACTTGATATTATAACATACATTGCTGTAAGATTTGTTTGCTTTAATATAGCCTTTTAGAGAAGCCAGAATAGAAGACACTTACCACAATATGTATGGGCTTCACTGTGGACTCCAGATACTGTATCACATCTTGGACCAGCCTTGAACCATAGTTCAGCTGGTTTAGATCCACAGGTGGCTTTAAGCATCGGCTAAACTTCTCTCTTGCCGAACTTAAATTCCCAGCTTTAAGGCAAGCCATGCCCCAGGCATGCCATGCTCCGCTTGGATCCAACCCAGACTTTGTAGAAACCTAAATTCAAAAATCATTTATTAATACTGTAACATATGGTCCCAATATAGAACACAGGAAAACTGGATAACCACACACAGCCTATGACTGTGACCTTCCATTTCCTAGAGACATTTCCCATTAAAACAGATAAACAAAAAGCCCCCCACACTGACTGTTTCTAGGTTACTGGCACTAGATGCCAGCTACCAAAACACCCGTGATCTCCAAATGCACAAGAATTTTTTTGCTGTTCAGGTTTAACCAACCATGTGTCCAGGAAGTTTCAGTTCAACAGTTTTAAAACTCATGAAATTCTTCACATTAGGAAAAGATTTTCTTATAAAGCAAGTAATTTTTATAGAGAAGAAATAATCAGGTTTGTGGTTTAAAAACTGCAGCAGAACATGTAGTTTTCTGCTTAGATAAATATCAATACTTTGTTAAGTGCTGCAAATTTCTGTTGCACAAAATTCTGCTGATCAAATTTATTCCTGAATTTCTTTAGTAAGTCAGCTGCCTTTAAACATGAACTATTTTTACTCAAATAGCTCATCTATTCTTATCCTTGCATCATAATCCTTTTCCTAACAAACTGCAACGCCATAAACAGAGGCTTATGGAATACTGCGAGTAGGAGGAGGATAAAAGATGATAAACCACACCAGATGAGCTCTCATAGATAAATATGCCACCATAGTTAGCTTCCAAGTAAACGCTTGGCAAAGCTGCTTGAGTTAGTATCCGCTGCAGTATTACGGACAAATCAAATACACAAGTTTCAGATAAAGTCCTGCAACAAAGCATGCCTCAACCCTTCTACTGATTGTAGGAGTCCTCCCGCGTAGTGATTTTCTGGCAGTTTTCCATTACCATTTTAACTGTACCAGGAGATATGGCCCCTATTCTTGCCTTCAGCAGACTGCTCCACAGCAGAAGGCATCTTCCCTCAGAAAATTTTTTCAGCATTCAGAAAAGGTTTTCTTCACTGCTTAAAAACTTAATCCTGGACAACATTTAAGCTGTTACAGACTATTTCATACATCACATCCAGCTGAACTCAGAAGAGGGGAAAAAAAAATTCAAAACCCACTACAGAATGATTATTAATATTTGCATCCCTCTATTGTCGTTACCTCTATAGCTAATTGATAGTACTCTGCTTCCAAAAGCTGATTTCTTAGTCTTGTTACTGCTGCAGGGAGAAGAATCTGATCCAAAGATGGCACCGGACGATAGGCAGCAGCAACCAAGATATTCAACACATCCACTTTGCTGATGTAGCTAGGAGAAAATAGAGGTTAAATATACTAAATAAATATACTACATATGTTAAATGTACATATACTGTCACTCTTATCATACACACTAAGAATCTTAAAGAATTTTATGTCAAAGATAACTCTTAGAACAGCGGCTCCTAATCACTAGTATACCAGGTTTGTCTGTTCATCATACTGTCCTATTCCGGCTATTTTTTGCTGTTTCATTTCATTTGGTGGAGCCTTGGCAGATGCTGATTGTGGACGCCAGCTAACATTACCAAATCCAACTAGTACGTGGGAAACTTATGCACTGCACCTAGCACTGCAAGTACCAGTGAGACAAAGCTCGAGGAACAAATAAGATGCTAGTGGTCAGGAAGTACAGGTTGAAAATTCTGTATGGAACAAGTGGCTGAAAGTAGAAAAACAAAACAGCAGAAGTAGAACATTTACCCAGTCATTCTGGATTACTTCTCCCTACTCTGAGAATTTTCTCAGTAGTTATTATGTAGACATGAGACTTGAACTTCTATTATTTGAGCTTTCACGTTATTCTTACATTATGAACTTCTCTCGTTTAAAATGCCCACGGTACAATCACAAAACAACCCTCCTCTCCAGCACACAAGCATACAGGTTTTGCCAGGACCTTGACGCAGCCTAGGGAACATCTGATAAGTCACCTGTCACAGAGGGCGAGATCCTGGCTCCTTCCAGCTTTTACAAACATCATTTTGGCACTGAAGAGCAATTGTTTCATGATGTCCATAAGGAGCCCCGCATCCACCTCAGGGTTAGTCAGCCCTTGGGACAATTTGCAGCAGTGCTCTATCAGTTGGTGGCCACACACTACACTATTACTGTGCAGACTGAGGATGGCAATACACAAGGAAGAGCTGGGAGCCTGACAGAGGAAAGAAAGATGAACATTAGTACTGAGGTAATTATTTAGGAAACTGTTTATGCTAGACTCTCCTCTTTCTCCAGATCTGACCTGTTCATAATAAAATTCACTGCGTACAACTTCATTCTCCTCCTCGTTCAGGGAAACAATCCATTCAAGCTCAGGTGCCTTGGGAATTCGCACCACTGTGGAATATTTGTTACTAGACGTTTCTGTGGCAGAGAAAGAAAGAACAGGTAGAATCATCAAACAAGAGGCAATAAATCTGGCAGAGGGAACATCATACAGAGCTATTCCAATCCTCTCAAACAGTTATCCACAGTCCCTTCATTGTGCCAGTTCCTGTTAGTCTCGCATGTCCAGCACATAAACCACAGAAACATTTCCATTCCTCAGCAGACTGTCAAGCGTACTCTCACTGTCACTAACATCTTGTCAGTAAGAACTGGCTCCAACAATGTATTTTCAAATTATTATCCAAACCATATCCTGCAGGATATCAAACCCAGCAACTTTCTCTTAAGTCTTCCTTCAGCCAAAGCGTTCCATATTTCTGATCAGGAAGGATGTGGGAATAAGTGAGCTATGGGTTACAGCTAAAAAGGCAAGTTGAAGCATCAGTTGTAAGAAGAAAGGCTACGTGGACTCAATTGCTGTCTTCTTTTTAGAACTCAAGTTATTCAAACATACCTGTTTAAGATAAAGGCTTGCAAGAAGATGAGCTAATTCCATATGTTAAGTTTTCATATTAAAAAGTATTACAGAAAATTAGAGTTTTGATTAAGTGATCCAAGAAAATAATTTCTATGAAAAGTCTTTCTCTCTCCTCCAGACTAAACAAATTTCAGTTTTGAAATTTGTTGTTCTCCTACCTAGATATTGTAATGGATAACATACAAGATGGATAGGCAGAAAGAGATTATTTTAATAACTATTTTGTCTTCTTTGTTCTACTTTCTCCTGAGCTGAGAATTATTCCACCAAAAGAGAGAATAGCTACAAATCAAACCATGTCTGTCATCTGAGACCAGTTAAGATGCACCAGCCCTCCGATTCTCATGTTTGTGGTTCTGGTTCCTAGCAATCAAACAACAGACAACCTTTCAGTTCTGAAAAATGGGGGCAAGAAAAAAAAAAAAGGTAATTTGCTACTATTTTCCAGATCAACAACTTCTCCCTGGAAAATTAAGAGTTTTTTTAAAAACAAATACATAAAAATCTGCTTTTCTGTGAAGAATGATTTGTCAGGAAATTCACTGTTCTAAAGTTTCACAGAAAGGCAGTTACTCATCAATGGAACAATAAAAACTGTAAGGTGAATTGGAAAAAAAAAAAAAAACTATTTCCAAATTGAACTGGAGACAGTAATTAGAGAAGGGGGAGGGGGAAAGGGCCTGAGAACTTTTGCTAAGAATTCTTCACAGTCCCATCAGAAAAGTTAGAAAAGTAGCAGAATAAAACACTTTCCCTCTTAAATCTGAGGAGTTCTGTGCTGTTCTTGCACTTGCTGTGCAAGTTTTTCAGCGTTTCATATTACTACTAGCTGTACCTCAAGTAACAATGGTTTGGGTCTGCCAAAATGTTATGCTAGCATAAGAAATTTTTTTGAGCTTTTCGCTGAATCACCTCACTAACACCAGACTAACAAAGAAAGAATAACTACCTTGAGGAAAAATGGCTGACAATTTCAATTGAACTTGGTTGTTCCTCCTGAAATGTCAAGATATTCAATGGGGAAATTGTGGCACAGGTGAGAAATAACCAGCTCATTTTTGCACAATCAACAAAGCAGATGGAATTTGGGACACACCCAGAGCCACAAGAGGAGCCTCATTCTGTGCTCCCCGCAGCTGGCACTGAGTATCAATCACCACCACACACTGCAGTGCTATTCAGCAACGTACTAGCACAGTTCTTGAAAAGAGCATCTCTTAACATAGCTCTATACTGAGCTAATTAATTCCTACTTTTAGCATAGCCTTTCACTGACTGCTCCTAGTATGCAAAGTGCCTTCTCCAACCATTGTTTTCAGTTCCTGCCTTTAAAACCCACCCAGATTGTTCAGTGTTGGCTCTGACGTATCTCCTAAATCATAATTCCCATTTACAGAAATTTAGAATGCCTGATTTCAGCCCACTCATGTGAAAATACTGGTATTTTAAGTTTTGATCATCCTTTTTCTACAGCTAGCTGTGGCAGATTCCTATCTCAAATTCTACTGATAATCAGGCGTTTGAAGTGGAAGTTTAACGTTACTCCATTCCTCACCTTCCACTTGGTCCTGATCTTCTTTTTTGCTGTAACAGAAAGACAGAAAGAAACATCATGCCTCTTCCAGCATACTGGGGAAAACATAATTCTTAAGGAGGGATCAACGCGGCTAGCTTTTTCAGAACTCTGTCTTCCGCTCTCCCCAACCCTCTCCATCTGTGACGTCTGGAAACACAAGTTCCTGCCCCTACATACTGCACTTCAACTCCACTAAATAATTAAGTTCTTACAAGCTTTTGCAGAAATAGTATTGTTGCACATACAATGAGTCAAAGTAGATACTGAGAACAAGGAAGAACTGCCCAGGATCAGCGTACGTCAGAGCTAAAACAAAGTTTTTGACATTTATGTCTCTGTTCTTAAGATGTAGTTCGTTTTAATATACAAACAGGGTGAGTTTAAAAACAAACAACAAAACAACCCCACACAAACAACTAAAACATGAAGCTAATGGTCAAGCTCCCTGCTAGGCTCTGCTGACCTATTCTGGTAGCATTAGCAACCGTTCCGACTCAACCCAGTCTATCTGCAGGTAACTGCTTGTTTCTTCAGAGGTTCCTTTTCAGATCTGCACAGTATTCTTCTCTTCCTAACAAGCCTGTTTGCACTGCTATCAGCAGACTTGATTGGGTCACAGAGAGAAAAAGCCCATTTTTTTTTCAATTGCACTTTTCACCAGCTGACCTAAACTACACACCACAAACTTCACTGCAATTCTTACCTGAAAAGGAACCATATCAAAACCTGTCATCACAGCTAGCCCTTTCATTAAGGGCTCAGTTTCAATTTCAAAACCTATGTAATCATGAACTTGCTTTTGACTCTCCCAGGGTCACAATCAAGAAATTGTGGAGAAACATTTAACACACTAACAGGCTCTGCAGAGCCAGTCAACATGTGATGCTGACCCAGAAGCCGAGTAAGCTGCAAGCAACTTGGTCACTTATTGTAATATTTTGTTTGGAAAGTTTGGTACTAAAGCATTTAATTCATAGGTTTAACGATCAATTGATGCTTAAACAATTAAAACACTTTGGCTCTCCAGTGTTCTTTCTAATACTAAAAGTAAAACTGAGGCATCACGATCATCCTTCACCTAGAAAACCTGAAAATCCCAACTGCTGGGAGCCAAAAAGCTGATGTATTGTACTATCTAGATAAACCCAAATGTTTGTACTCTGATCCCTGAAGACTGCAGTCCACCTTCCTGCGTACATGCAGTTATGAAGAATTGGAACGGAAGAACTTACGTGCTTGCGTCTTGTATGAAGCCAGGCAGATGTTCTCTATTGTAGTAGCTATAGCATTGGTCACATACACGAGCTGGATTTTCTCTACAAGCTTCTACTGCCATTTTCTTGGTGGAGCAAGAGCTGCACACTAGTCTGCCACAGCGCCTGCAGTGATGACGCCTGTTAAACTAAGCACAAGAGGTCATGGATGAGTAACTGAAGGAGCTGACTGAAGTCCCCCTCCTCTATATGCCCCCATGTATGAGTAAACTTATTCCATTCAAAGCAAGCAAATAGCATGAATGATAAGGCCTTTCAGAACAAAACTGATTGAGTCTCACTGCCACAATTCCCTTTTGGGGAGGGCACAGCAAAGGAAAAAAAACAAACAAACAGAACCAGATATTTATAACTGACAAGCTTGCTGCAGTGTTGGACTTTCCAATATTTAGATTGTTCCAATTTTAATCATATTTAGGTGAATGATCAATTTAGATCACTTCATGAAAAAGTTTAAAGCTGTAGACTATCTTTCTGATAAGATATTATTCATTTCAAAATTCAAAGCAATATAACTTTTTGAGGAAGCAGTGCTGTCTGTAGAAAACAGATCGCCAGCACATTTGCAAAACCCAAAACTAATCTCCCTAACAGCACTACCGTTGTTGCAATAGAGTACTCGAGCAAGTACAATTGTAGCAAAGTGTAACCAACAGCAAAGCTTACTCTCCTCTGTACTGGTGAGCCAAATTATATTACGCTCATGCTATTTCTAGCCAGCATGGTCAACTAGACAGCCCTGTGAAATTACTATCAATACATATCTCTGAGTTCTCATAGGAGTTTCCTCTCTGATAACAAGGTTTCCTTTACAGGCTCTGTCACTTCCCTCAGGAAACTTGGGGAGAGGCCTCAGACCCTGCATGGAGCCAACAGTGTTGCAAGTCTCCTCAACTGATCTAAACAGAAACTAATGGTTAAATATCAGTAGGTCAAGAGTCTCGACAAGCCTACACTGACATAAGCAAACTTGCTGAAGCAGCTGGTGGCTCTTAGGAAACAATCTGAGCAAGTGTCCACATTAAGATCACAACTCTAGAAACGTCTGTACTTAATCTCTGATCCTTACCATAGTAAAGCGTTCTGTTTTGCAGACCATACATATCATTTCAGTGTCATCAGGTATCCATTGCTGTTTTGGTGGTGGCTTCTCAGGTGGCACAAACTCTTGAGGAAGCACATTCTGCTGCAGGCTTCTGTCTCTGGGACTTGTGGACATGGTGATGCCTTAAAAGACCACAGCAAGACAAACATGGAACAGGATTTTAGCTGTTTAACTAACACCAGCTGTTTAACTAACTGGAACACCAGAAAACACTACAGACTTACTGAGAACATCTCACTTACTGCTTACTTATTAGCAGACATTTACGATAAAAATTATAGAAGTTTAAGACTAGGTCTTGTCAACATCTGTTCTTGTATCATAAGCAGAGACTTGAAAAAACAGATATATGGACACCAAATACACAGCATAGCATCAAATATAATCTTAAGGATATCCAGCATAGGCAGACTGACATTCCTGAAGACTGCCTTTTCTTTTATCATCTCAAGAGGGCTACATCATGGCTGGCAATTGCATATCTCTCCCTATTCTGCTCCCTTCAGACAGGCAGAATTTGTACCTCTGTGGCCTTTGGCATCTTTGATATTGCCATCGAGACATTCACTGACTCAAAGTTGTAGCATTAAATAGGCTTTTAGTTTATATGATGTGAACCTGCTACACTTCGGACTAATTGAAAGGTTCAACATCCCATTGCAGCCCTGCCAGCCACCTCCTGTGCACAAGGATACTAAACTAAAAAAAAAAAAAAAAAAAAAATCCAACTCCATCCCAATAAAGCTAACTCATACTCATCCAAGCAGCTATTGGATTGCAGAAGAATGCTAGAGAACAACACATCCAGGTTTCATAACAATGTACTGATATTTAGCTAGCATACAAACTATTTCCTGGGCAACATGAGAGACACTAAGAGCTGCGCAGCCAGATCCAAGACACTGCCATCACCTTATGTACGCAGCATGAGGAGAACCTTTAATTCAGTATACAGAACTAGAGAACACCTCACACACCCTAAACTGTAGGCTCAAGATACCACTGTGGACCTCTAATTCAGGCCCATCACATGCTGGAAACCATCAGTCTTGGAGGTCTGAGGAAACCCTCTGCTAGTCATTCCCTGAGAGCACAGGCTCTCCATCTATCATGGTATATATCCTCTGAAGGATATCGCTTACATTCAAAGCGAAACAGACTTTCAGAAGGATTTGTGGTTGGTTTTTTTTTTTTTTTAAAGCCAAGAATATTCTTCAATTCTTTTTTAAAAATTATTTTGTTTCTATTTATTTGTTTCTATTTATTCAGCCAATTGAGTCTCCTAAGGCAATAAAAGATGTGCCATTTCCCTCAGGTGACAAGAGGGATCCTAGAAAAAACTAAATTCAAAAACAAAAGAATGAAGGAACAAAAAAAAAAGGCAAAAAAGACTAGGCTTCCACTGCAAAACCAAAGTTAAGATCCCAAAGAAAAACAAAATTTCGGAGCAAAGAACAGGAAGACAGGAAAAAGTACCACACTGATGGCCTTCCAGACCAACTCTGCTCATGTACCCAGAGAGACCAAAGTAGTCCTGACCGGAAAGGATTAACCTGCAGCACCAGCAATCCGCCAGCAATTTTACTCTTGCACAGAGGTAAACCTTTTGTTTTTGCAGCTGAAGTCCAGTCTCCTATAGTCTGTTCAGACTTTCTTTTTTCTGTAGGGTCTGGAATGGAATTCTTTTGTGCCAACTTCTCGGGCATTTTGCCAATATCTACCAAAGCCCAAAACAAAGCCACACCCTTCCTCCTTATCTCCCTCTAAGTTTTCTTTTAACTGGGCCCAAAGCACCCAACTGCAGAGACCTACTAACCTGTGCTAAATGTGACCAAAGTTACTATTAAAAGGTGGGATGCAAAGTTCAAACACAAATAGAGGATAAAAAAAAAAAAAAGAACAGGTTGAAAGAAAATGGCGTTGAGACCTCATCCTTACCAGTAAAGCTGCCATGAGATGGTTCTGGTGATCCTGATTTAGATAGTGCTTCACACTCCAATATTTGATTGAGGGTCTCTTGGATACGTACCACAGAATCTAGGACCAAGGGAGAAATAGATCAGATAACAATACCGGTCACACATCTACCCGCTTACAGGAAGAATAGAAGAATCCATTCACAGCAGCATGTAAGAACGTTAGTATAAAACAGGATTAGCTGTGTAACAAATCGTTACAACTTTCATGAAGATTAGCCCACAATGATTCACATTGCATGAACCACTCTGGGCTAATCCTCATGAAAGAAGGTGCATGTGTGTACATGGTCAACAAAAGCACTGAACCTAATCTGCAGCACCCTCTGCTCTTCAAGTTCTAAATTACCAAAGACAGCAAAGCCCAGGAGAACTGACACTAACATGGATGAAAAGGGACTGGTAAAACAGAAAGAGCAGCTGTGGTAAGATTATTACTAGAACTAGAAGTTTAAAAAAAATTATAAAAGAGGTATAGAGCGCTAGAAGGAGGAAACAGCATGAAAGATTAAATCCCCATTTAATTTTGGGGAAGATGCAGCCGAGTGGGGGCAGTTTAGAACTGCTGAGGTTGTGAATGACTTTACATTAAACAGGAATGAAATGAAATTGCACAGTACCATACAAGAAAGGAAAGACCCTTAAAAGGAACAACAGAGGAAAGTTGGAGAAACTTTTGGAGCTGTTGACCCTTAGGCTTACAAGCTTAAAATCCTTCTGCTTACAAGAAACACAAGGACTTAAAGAATATGCCTAGGACTAGCGGGAGACAGACACACATCTCACAATGGTGAGATGATTTTTGGGGAAAATTTGCCCTTCTTCCTCAAGGAAAAAATAGCATTTTCAAGGATAGATACCTGATCTTTTTTCTTTTAATGCGAAAGGGAAGTCAAGGGCTTTTTCTGCATACTTGGAGAGCAAATTATCAATGTCTTCTACAGCAAAGCCAATTTCCTGTCCAGCTAAGAGCTGATGTAGTGTCTGCACAGCCACAGCTACCCAGTCCACTTTCATATTCATGAGGAGCTGCTCCAGCATGAGCAGTGGCCTGGAGGAGAGGTGGAAGTAGTTAACACGGTAGAGCTCAGGTAGAGTCAGCAACACCTGGGACACAATTAAAAAAAATTAAAATTATACATCCCCAAATCTGGGTTTTTGCAAGAGTAAAGATAAGGGACTAGCAGAGCAGCTTATGATGCAAGGAATGGAATAAAATTCAGAGGCTAAGAAATGAAGATGGGACTTCTTGGGTCTACTCCTAGTTCTGTTACAGAATTACTGAATGGATTTGGGCAAATCACTTGGCTTCTGCCTAACCTGTTTCCCATTCTATAAAACATTGCCACGTTTCAGAGAGGGCAGAGAATGGAAAGCCATTTGTGACCCCGTGACAGCAATGTTCTAGCAGGGTAGAATATATTCTTCCATTAAAATAAACTTTATTTAATCAACATTAGTCCAACCCTTAAAATTTTGTCTCTTGTCGCTCCACTACATCCATCATTTCAGGAAGCATGGAAAGGAGAAAATAAGAGCAGTTCTCCAAAAGATGATCAGCTAATTTGGACACTTTTCAAGTTAATATCATGTCCTCCAAGAGGGACAATAAAGAAACAGGAAACATAATAAAACTGTTGCACCAAGCACTGGAGCAAGCTGCTATTTGTAGTCCTATAAGAAGCGCATGTTACGGAAAGCACTGCATTTTGTTTATGCATGCATTCGAGTAAGGTAATCCACTGCTTAATGCATTTATTCCCAGGTAGGGCACAGAGCCTATATGACTTCTGTAAAGGTAACAGCCATCCAGAAAAAGGAATAATACTGCCCACCTTTGAAAAGTATTTGGGAGTTCCTTAGAAGAAATATGCCATGTTAAGTGTCAAGGAGCCCTATAAGTGGGCATATATTTATTCATATTCCTACACAGGGAATAGCGGTAGCACTGGAAGGTAGCACTGGTGCTTCTGACACATCAGAGAATACGTTTAGGATGCTTTCTTTCTCGCTTGGACAAAGATAGCAGCTGTCCTGATAAGCACCTCAATTTTATCTCCCTCCTCTAGTCAGGATGGTCTTTCACTCCCCACAGCTCAGACAGACACAAGAACGCTTTGTTCACACTGGGAGCTGCAATCACCTCAGAACATAGGAGCTACAGATAGCGAAGGGAAAGACAACTTTTAAGCCATCTCCACCTTCCTTCGGTGCTGTCAGCACACGTAGGGACTGAGACTCATGATCGGAGGCCCCACACGCCAAGAATACTCTGGTAAAAATTTGCAGACAGATACTTATAGAACTACACATTGCAGTAAATCCCACAATGCAGCAATTTTGCTCACTTTTGATCCCATATGGAGAGCCTGAATTTCATTATGGCGTGCAGTTGTCAGGTTTCTGTAGAAGTGAGTTGTGAGGTAATCAGCCAAGAAGTGAGAGGCTGCCAAGCTGGGATGCTGATCAAGGGACTGTTCACTGATGGCAAGGCAAATATCAGGGTCTTCTATTCTTTGCAAGAGCTAGAAATAGAGACAAAACACAGTGTATCCCGAGTACATTTCTGGAAAGTACTCTTTAAATCACATGGTCCACGACAGATTATTGCCCTATGATGGTCCTGCAAGCATTTTATTTAACTTACACCAGCCTCTTACACAGACACACACACATACATAATAATAATTTAGATCATTTACTTATAGGTTTCCTCATTGCTTAATTAGTCTATTTAATAATCAAAATAGTTGCAATTAAAGCAAGCAAAAAATTAAGCGAAGAATGAGGCAGAAGATGCATCAATGAGAAAGCTCTACTCTGCTCCTCAGTACTTTAAGGCCTCTAGAACAGCCTTCACTTTTATTTCATGCTCTGTGTTATTAGCAGCACCTAATTATTAAAAGCAGAAGAATTCACATTTTATTAAATTTGGACACTGAGGCCTAACTGACCAGTTTCTGTTATTAGTTTCACTTCCTGGTTCTTCTGCATAAGCAGCACAAAAATGCTTCCTTGTGATTTCTCAAATAAAAAGGGACCCCACATTTCCATATAATTAGAATAGCCATAAAGGTATTTACACTATTTGATCCAAAAACTAGACTGCCAAGCTATATTTTCACTTGAATGGACTGGCTGAAAGACAGGACCCTGAAAGTGAATCTAAGCAAACAGTATCCTTTAAAGGAGAAAACAAAAACAGCACGTGTCCATGAGCTGAAGAAAGCAGTTCTTCTACAACCTAATAACGACAAAGCAATTTGCCAACATGTAATATACAGACACAACAAAAGACAAAACACAGACAAGTCTCATTTTCTGATATCTTCTCAACTCTCAGAAAAAAATACTGGCTTTTAAAAAACAGCGTGCAGCCCTCACAGTTACAGAAAAACCATAGAACAGGCTGAAAACCTCACATAAACTGTTAAATAAAAACATTTCTCGAGACTGGCCTAAACTCCCTGGAACGCTCTGCCTTACACAGTTTGAGCTGTTTGGGTTGAGAGCTACAACAGCTCCAGATTCATCGCAGAAGTAGTTGCTGACACTAAGCCAGAGAAAACCGAAGACCTCAGCATGCAACAGTGATCTTGCATCTAAGCAAGTCTGCATGTTATCTTGTAAGTTTATAAGGAAGAGAGTAGCTCTGTTCCCCCTTCCCCTCATCTATTGGATATGAGTAACTCATTGTGAAAACAGTTCGGATACCTTGTTTTCAACTAATTTGACCTGTGTAGATGTGAGGCTGAAAGAGTCCTGCTGTTACCTTCAATGCTTTTTCCATGTCTCCCGTCTCCAGTAAGTGGAGGAGGTGATCACGGTGAAGGCTGATTAAATTTTCCCTCGGGATGGGATACAACCGGCCCCATTCCTCACACAACTCATAATCCTGAAACAAAACACACACACACACACAAATAAATAAAAATCCAACTTCCTCCGATGCAACTGTTTCTTCCAAAGTCCTGATCAACTTCTCAAGAAATTCTGTAGCTTAGATTCCTCTCCCTCAGGCAGAAGTAAATAGTTGGGGCGAGGGGGGACAAGAAGAGATTCAGTTTTGCCAAAGTCACAGATCACATTGAGAATACTCTTATCTCCCAGTAGGTGAGTTGTCCTTCTGGACAGACACTTCTCAAGCCAGCTATTACTATCTGGAATCTACAGTAGTGACGCTTATAAAGTAATTAAGCCTGTATCATGCCAAAAGCTATACTACTAAAGACTTCAAAATTCTAAGAGAAAAGAATAGGCAGTATTTCAGAATAAGAGGTATGGGACTCTTTGCACGTAAACCTGGACAAAAACACAGATTCGCGTTTGATTCTGCAGCATAGAACTTAGCAAAGGATTTCTTCCTCGCAAGGCAATCTGTTGACCAGTGTTTTAAAATACTATTTTCAACAAATTTATCCATTCAAAGCGTAACGCGTTCTAGTTCAACAACATTCACACGAAGATGCCTAACCTTTGCCTTCAGAATGATATCCATGATGGCTTGAGGATCATCAGCACAGGCTTTTTTCAGATCCTGCCAGTCATTCCACAGTGGTTCATTTTGCAAATTCAATATCTGAAAAAGTTAATTCGTGTAGCACAAATTTTAAAAATCATTATCCACAATAACCATTAAGCCTAAGAGAATGGCTGAGCTGATCACATTATGAGTTGCCTCATACCAAGAAAGGCAAAAAGGGACCCCTTGTTTATCTCTACCCTTTTTCTGGAATGATGTAATGAACTTCTACCCCAAAAAGAACTACAGGATTTTCTCAGAGGTGTGGCTTTATGAGTGCCTTTGGGCAAACAGATTTCTAAAGCAAAATTTCTAAAAGACTACCTAGCAGCAATTGTGGACCAAAAGATATATGCATACTGTAGACATTGTCAGCACTAACAGCGATACAGCTGAGGTAACTTTCAGCTAGCGAAACCACTGCCAGACAGAATTCAGCAGGGATTCACAACTCCTCTTTTCGCTTGGTCTGACTTTTCAGTCTGTGTTCAACTTCAGGCCAGCTAGCCTGACCTAACTTGAATATCTACTCTACTTTGCAGTTAAAAGCACTGATTGCCATACAGATGCCCATTGGACCACTTGTCCCATAGACCATGCCTAGACACATCTGCATCTCTCACAAGATGATGAATTGCCACGGGAAGCTTCCAGAGATCCTAGCATTTGTACAGACTGGAAAAATCAAAATATATTGGAAAAAAAAAATAGCGGCCTCACTCCAAAGTTCACGTCTAATAGTGTTTGCAGACCTGAAGTCCAATAGGTGAGTGGAAAAGTTATGAGGAACGGAGGGGGAGCATTAACTGGATATTAAAACCACTGGACAGCACTGAAAGCATGATCTGTTTTGCATGAAAAACTTGAAAAGCTATTGTGATGAAAAAAGAACAACGGACTTTTTCTAAGGGCAAGCATATTCTGTCCTTGTTACCAATTTTGTCTTACTGGTTACTTAACAGAACGGCTTTGTACCTTCTGGTAAACCTGCAGTTCTTTCTTCCTGCTCCGCAGATTAGTTTTTAGTTCATCAGTTATGTCCAAGTCAGAGGCACAATAAGCTAGGATTTCCAAACAGGCCTCGAGGGGCCATTTGTCTAGGCAGCGCAGGGCAAGCCTACTTCTCAGCGCTGCATCTTTTACTGGGAACAAGTACTGCCAACCATCTTTACCTGTGGGGGAGGGGACGGGGGAGAAGGGGAAACAAAAAAAGAAAAAAAAACACACAAACCATTTTGAAGCTCACTTTCTGTGGTTTAGAAAAGAAAATCCTTATCTGCACTAACTGCCCGCACCAAGAGAAAAACAGTACAGTGCTGGAAAAGACATGCTAGACTCATCCCAAGCATCAGATTTTCAGGAAGTAGTGAAGGTTAGAATGGGACACTTACTACCTTTAGGCTCCAAAGAGCCCCTCCTTTTACAGGACATATCATCCGTGTATCCACTGAAGGGAGAATGATACTGCTGCAAGTGATGTTCCATTAATGGTACTATAATTAACGTCTCCTGACGCGTTCAGCTCTTCACAAATAAATAACACCACAGATATATCCCAGGTCTGCAGTACAATTTTTTTTTTTTTTAAAGCAAGTTTAGTGTCAGGATTTGCTTATTTGTAGAGCAGAAACCACAGCATCAGCAAAAGCAAGTTTACGATGCGGGAAGGGAAGGGATTAGTTTCTGTTCCTCCGATTTGTCCAAGGAGCACCAACTACATCCTTAGTTTCTACCTCCTGTGCCAAGCTGTACTCTTCATTAAAAAAGAGGACCTCCCCCCTCCCCCCCCCATACATAACCCTTACCATCAGCGGCTGCACAGCTCAGCACAGCATCCTTCACATTGGTTATCTCCTCCATACCCTGGCTGTACAGATCCAAGACCTTCAGGGCTCTGGCCCAATCCTTTGCTGTAAGTGCTTGTTCAAAGACTCCCATTAGTACCTCAACAGCTGTGGTGGAATGCAATCCTAAGAGAACCAGAGACACGTGTGTCTTGCCACAGAGGACACTAGCCACACTGCTGCCTTCCTCCTGCTGGTGCTGAAGTGGCTCAAACATAGTAAGCAGAAATCGTTCCAGTACTGAGAATTCCTTCAACAATGCCTCACACTCCCTGGAAATCTGTTCCAAACCTAACGGCACCTCCCGTTTGCCCCGAAATTCCATCCACGATAAATTGGATTTGGGAATTTTCTGTATATTAGATGCACTTAGACATGCCACTGTGGCCATAAGTCTTGACTGAGACTTTAGGAAGTCCAGGGAGGAGGCAGTGAGCGTGTTCTGGTTCAGGTCAGTCGCAGAGGACGGGGCCTGAGCGGAGACATCCTCAGAGGCCGTTGCAGGATTGAGGATAGCTATTTCAACATCTGGCAAGCAGTTGTAGGCATATAGGCGTGCCAGGTTGCTGATGTTTGCCATAAGGGACTTTGTCTGGCTGTTTTGCCTTGCACTGCACAAGGAGAGGGGTTCACAACAACAGTTAACAATAACTTGCTGCACATTCAAGTTCAATTCTTCTTTAGCCAAGAGGGAAGAAAGTCTGCAGGATCGAAAAAAGAACCGGCTTACACAAAGCACACGAACAGTACTTGAGCAAGAGTCCAAATCCTATGTTTACCCTGTACGAGAAAGTTTATACAGCACAAGGATGATAATTCAGAGCTTATCATGCCATTCTTTTAAAGTGGAACTTCTCAAACATTAACTTTTACCTAAACGCCACATACGAAACCAGTTTACTGTTAGTGCTCACCTTTTTAAGAGCTACTTTGTTAAATTGGAAACTTTCCATACCAGCCCAGTTTAGTTGTTTGTGATGAAAACAACTTTGATTATTCCGTCTACCAACTGGCCCGTGCAAGACTCACGCCCAATCATCTTCCTAAGAAGCCCTACTGGTCTGTTTTTTGGGGTTTTTTTTTGTTATACTTCTAAGCTGCAAGTCTACTGCTCTCCACTTTCACAGATAAAAAAAGTACATACAGAAGCACTTTTTTTTCCCCCCCCTCAACAGACAGCAACTGTCAAAAATATGGAGCCATAGCTTTAACAAGCAAAAATCTTCAGTGCTATTTCGGTAGAGAAGCCACTGATTATGCTCCTCCCTGCACACCAACCCTTACACGTTAAGTGACCTGCTGGTGGGATAGAGCAAAGGGAGACTGTAAAGCCTGTGTTAAGTAACTATAGCAGACTTATGAGGTCCAAACTCACTAACGCTAAATTTACCTAGATAAGTATACCTGAAAAGCACCAACCTGTCAGGATGAACCTGTTTCTCAAACACAAGCTGGGAGAGCAGGTGAGATGGACTCTGTTGTAGCAGTATGAAAGGATTCCCCACTTTCACTTCTGCAGATATATCTTTAAAAATTAGAGCAAGACAGAACATCTATTATAAGAAAACACATTAGCTGAATATACCAACCAAGTCTCGTTTTAGAAACACAAGTTTTAAAAGCCTGAGCCTGAAGCTTCTTTGCTCACATTTGAAGGTCCACATTTACATAAGTGAACTAAGATCCAGAGAAAGGTATAAGGCATTTGATTATTTTGCATCATTGGCTCACATTTTACTGTATGTGTTACCAGAACAGGTAGGGTGCTTTATGGAATGCTATTAACTTTTAAGTGAGATCTAGGTACAATTCGTTTAGCAACTTTACTTCAGCCTTTTAGCAAACATATATTTGTAGCAAGAGACAGAACATGTACAGTATTCGTTTCTGAGGATTCTCTGGGTGTAGATTAAAGAGTCCCTGCCCTAATCAACTCCAGGTGAGCAAAGGAGATGGCAGGGGCTGGGCAGGAGGTAAAAACAGCACAGAACTGCTTTTAAAATTGGAGTAAAACCCTGGCCAGCACTGCCGAAATGCCTTTGTATCCACTATTGAGTGACTGTAAGCAGATTCTCAAACTCACCTTTTCCTTTCACCTTCTAGCACAATAAGACTAACTCAGTATTTAAATATCACACATTTTTTGGTTTTGGCAGTAAGTCACTGGGGGCTGAATCATGTCTGTATAGAAGTTATTGCTGGCACGACAGCAGCCTGAGCTGAACCAGCCTTTCTGAAAACAGTTCTTTGCCTGCTTTCCTTATCCTCTACACTCTCTAAAATCAGTATTGTGGTATTTTGCATTAGTGCAGCTAAACTGGACTCTAAAAGAGAAAATGTTTTTCTCCTATCAGTTAACGGTGTTGTCTTTCTAACAGCTATATATGCTAACCATGCATTGCTTTTCATGAACCCCCATCACCATTCGATTCAGTGAGAAAAATTCTGCCTGGTTACCTCCACACAGCCTTCTAAAACACTCTCCTCCTGTCCCTTTAGAGCAGTGGGGCTTAGGCTGCCTTTTAAGAGACCTCAGAAGTACACAGAATGCTGATCCACTGGAGGAAAAAGTCAGTCTTTCCTTACAGGGGTAGTGGTCAGAATTTGGGAGGGCTGTGGGGAAGGGGTGCTTTTTTTTTTTTTCTTTTTTCTTTTTTAAAGTGCAAAATCTGAGTCTGCACTTAATATTACCATTTTGGTTTTCCCACTGCAATCAACTACTATCTTAGCTGTTGGTGACTTGGGTGCTAAGATATAAATAATACTAGTTAAAAAACTAGTTAAAAAAACAAAACAAAAAACCACACCCCACACAATACGATAATCAGTAGAAATAATAATTGAAAAAAACAGTTATGTATAGGTAGTAGACAGGTTTAGCAAGGAGCCATTTTTACATGGTTACTTTTCAGAATCAGGCCAGACTATGCAGCCTGGGTAACTTCACCCATGGTCAGGCTTTCCAGCAGAAACCACTTACCTAGCTCTGCATTCAGGCTTCGTAACACAACAGCAGCCAGTGTAGTAATATAGTCACAGAAGGTCTTCACAAAGTTTATCTTTGTGCTGCTCTCTGGCGTAGTTTGGATATATTGGTCAATAGTTTGCAGCAGGAGCTGGGTTTGATTCCAAACTGGGTTTTTCTCCAGTTCCAAAGGTTTCAGAGAGGCCTGTTCTACCAAGGTGCTAAGCAGGCTCCCTTTGGAGTCTGGTTTAAGGGAAAAGAGGCAGATTCAACATTCAAGTAAGAATTAAATGCCAAAAAATAAACATATTTAGCTTAATTTCCTCTCTACAATTACAGTCCACAGTCTAGGCATTAAAACTTCATTGAAAGCAAGAAATTTTCACAGCAGAATAAATCAATGGTTCATCTAAACTGGCAACCTTGCCTCTGGCAGCTTTGAAAAGCCTGAAATATATCTCGTTGTGTGGTATTAACACAAACCTATTCCAAGCCACAGCTGTCCTTATGCCCTAAAACATTTAGCTCTTAAAGCTCTACTAACTTTTTGCTCATTAATTTTAAGATCTTGAAATATTTATGAATATCTATACGCGATTTAGAAGGTTGGTGAAGGAACCCCAGTGCTATAAAATGCAAAGAGCTTTGCAAAAAGGCTCTAGTTGTTCTACATCCCTGGAAGACTTATTCTGAAAAAGAATTTTTTGATAGCCCTGAGAAAACTGGAAGGGACATTATGTTACAAAAGCTTTACAAGTGTATCTACTTTTTATAAAAAACAAAGGAAAAAGCAACAGGAAGAAGACGACACCCGACTATCTATAAGCTGTCAGGTTAAAATATATTTAAAGAGTTCCTTGTTAGGATTAGACAAAAATAGCAAAAGTAATAACCTCAGATATGCTCATTTACATTTTCTTTTCTCCTCTGGTAAGTTCCCAATTTTAGCTCTGATAAGAATGCTTGGGTTATAAGAATTACAGATAAGTTTTTACACCTCATTTGTGATTCAAAAAAAATACATGCATGTATTATGCATGTATTATGCATACATGAAAGAACATCACTATTAGGTTTATAGTTTTCTGGGTTGCATCCACGAACTTTAGTTTCGGATAGCTTAACAAAAAAAACAAAACACCACACCACACAGGACAAAACACAAAGTTTAGATGCATTTAAGTCTTCATGATCACAAAATTAACTCACCCACAGAACGTTCAACACACGTCAGCGCTTTTAGAATTTGATCGAGATGTTGCGATAAAACAATCTCATTAGTGATACTTTCTTCAGTCAAGGCAGGGTAGCAAGCCTGCAGAAGTTCTACAATACTGCATCGAAAATAGCTACTAACTTTCTCATCTGAGATCTCTACAATAAAAGAAAAAGAAATAACAACTATGCAAAAATATGGAAGCATCTTTGCACAGAAAAAGATCAACATAACTAAAAGCTGTATTATAATACAACTAGTTTGTCAAAATCAGAGACGTCCAGTTATTCAGAATTGCGCTTTTTTGTTTTTAAATATAAAGCTAGAAAATGGAAAGTTCAAATTTTCCATCTCGAGAGAAGACAAGAATCTGAAATAAGCACATTCAAATGGAAAATTATCAGCAAAGCATACTACCTGACTTGGACTGCCCTTGTGACGTGCAAGAGTAGTTTAGAATTTTACTGATTTGCTGAAGAACTGCTGGGAAGCCCTTTATACCTTCAGGGTGCAGTAAAACAAAGTCAGGTCTGCGGCCTAGAAGAGTCATTGGACAAAGGAGGCAAAATAAAGGTTAGGAGTGGAAAAAATAGAGAAACTAATATGAAAGCGTAAACTGGAAGTTCAGTAAGACTCAGTATTTGCACAAACAGCCCAGCACATAAAGGCATCTTCCCCTCCCACGTCCATATTGATAAACAGAGAAATCAAAAGCCTACCCCGAGTTTCGAGGCTACTGTACAGTTTTCTTTCTGCTGTTTCCAAAAGCTGCTTACAAGTCTTCCAAAGATGGCACTGAGTACAAGCTAGGTCAAATGCTGCCATTGATGAAGGACTGAGGTCCTCGAGGACTTCCCGCAGAGGATCAGTATGTTCAAGCTGGATGTTGCTGGTCCAGAAGTTTTCTTGGAGAACAGGGGCAAGACTTTCAGAAGTCGCAAGCAATTTATCAGTAACATCCGAGATGGAATAAAATACCATGCCTACATAAGTAAGAAAACACACCATCACTAATTAAATGGGATATTTATCTTAGATCCTTTAACGGATAGGATTTTCTAATTGTTTAAGAATGAAATTCAACAGATGGCCTGCTTCATGGACCAATTCCTGCAGAGCGGATCAAACCGATCCAATTGGGCATCAACAGCAAATTCCAGCATTCTCAGTCTCTTTCTATGTCAAAGACAACCCACTTACTCTTCTGAACAATTATCACACTTCTTAAGGCAGTATTTAAGTTATTTTTCCCCGTTTTCCACTTTTTCACCTTTAATGAATGGGACTAAAGAAACCCCAGTCCTTACCAGCTGCTGCTGCACTCCCAATAGCCTGAAGCGTTGAACGGCCACTGCCAGATTTCCTGACGCCTCCAGTGCCATCTGATGTTTGATTCTCAATGTTGTGCTCCACTCTGGCCATCTCTCGTACCACCTCTTGGTAGCGCTCCATGAAAATCAACTCACCGTAACAAGATGAAGTATCCAGATTAAACATCAAAGCCACCTTTCAAAAATAACAATAAATACAATTATAGAGCATATCGAAAGAAGTTCTCAAAGATCCAAGAGTCTGAGGGTTTTTTGGAGGGGGTGGGGAGGGATAAAATAAAATAGATACTTTAACTGAAAAATATACACACAGAAATAGTGGGCTGAAAAGGCATTTTTTATTCTCCCCCAAGAGTTTTAAGCGCTTGAAGAACAGTGCTTCAGAGACCGTTTTCAACCTTTTTTTTTTTTTAAATAAATCTCAGCTATTATGTGCTACTAGACAAGATTTGAATTAATCTGCCTATCTGTCTTTCAGAACTATGCCTCAAGATTTCATTCAATATACCAGGTAATGAGAGGAATCTAGCAAGCTGGGTGTCTAAAATAAACTACTTTAAACAAGTTCTTATTCAGCAAGAAATACCTTCTAGATACTTAAAGACAGAGTAGATAAGCAGAGTTGTGCAAGTTCCTACTATTAAACCAATAGCAGAATGCAAACCAAGCTTGAACTTTTTACCATCAGAGATACTGAAACTCAGAGTAACAAAGGAATATAGATGCTTCTTGGGCCTGTAAGTAGGGAAAAGATGAAATAGTACGTTTGCAGTCAAACAAAACAAACAAGTTGGGCAGTTTGCTGCTGCTTATGCAACGCTTAAATGATACCAACTGCTGTGACAGTGTTATCTCAAAACTCAGCCAGGCCAGGTCACTGCTTTTTGCAGAGGATCCAATTGCTGATGCACTTCAAGATGCTTTTTCAGAGCATCAGCCCAAAAGCCACATATAGAAAAGTATGCACAACCACACGGGAGCACAGAATTACAGATGTGCAGACTGCTACTTACAACTCTTTTTGTCTACTTTCAGTACCATGAATTTAGCCTCAACACACCTTCAAATACGTGTGCTCATCACTTTGGGTAGGGAATACATTTGCATGTTACTGCTGAGCTTAAGGGGCAGAGTCATGGTTTTGATTCACTGACTACAGCAAGCAGCTCAAATACTGCTTCTTCAAGAGACTTCATATGAAGTCTTCACCTTCTCCTTCATTCAGTTGATACACTAAGCTTAGCCAGCCCTGATTAAGTATTTCCATGCTTTGAAAACCCAGGTTCAGAGGAGCCATTTTTATACCCCTGGGGGGAATAGGACTGGACCAGAGGTGTTGGGGGGTGCGAAATCTACATAACAGCCTCCTTGGGATGTCATCTTGGAATATCTTTGTTCCTTTCACTTATTTTTACTGTGGGAGTCACTCTTTCACTTCACCCAGATGCTTCAGCCCTGTATTTGCTAATGCAGAAGGAGCATGAACTTCATCAGCTGTCACAACAAATGCCAATACCAAATTAGATTCTAAGTTGTACAAAATATATGTAGCTCATTTACCTGATGGGCTTCTATGAAATTTCCTCTCAAAACACAAGAAACTAGGAGTGATTCTGGTGGGGAAAGCATCATAGGAATCAGAGAGTTTTGCTGCTGTGGTCTCATCCTACTTTCCAAATCACTCCAACTAGACACGTTATTGGTACTTCCCTCTGCAAGACAAGAGAATTAATCAGCATGTTATTATGAGGAAACAGTTCATCAGATAATAGCCAATTATCAGAGAACAGCACTTCTCATATTTAACACAAAGATATAGGAGCAGAGTTATAGAACAGTTTTAACATAACGCAGATAATAAGCCCCTTGTTAAAAATTCTCCTAAGATTTTACTATTTGGTCAGAACCTTCATTTTGCATCTGATCCAAACGTAACACTGTTTAGTAGCTAGATAATGCAGATGCTATGCTAGGGCACTGGTTCAATATTGATAGAGGGAGGAATTTCGAGTACTAGACCAAATAAATCAAGAATCTAAGATAGATTCACTCATTCCTCAGAAACCAAGACAGAGGCTAGCAATGAGTCTTAGCTTTCAAAGCCAGCCAAGAGATCACAACCCAAAAAACACAAGACCATCTGTCACTCAGGGTGACAACAACATTTCTTTTTTCACAGAAAGAACTAGAAGGCATCTGTGGATATAACTGACAATTATCTTCTATCAAAAAATTCACTGGGATTTTTATACTGCATAATTCAAACTAAGTACCCCAGAACAACAGCCAACCAATGAGAGAGAGTCAGGCAAAAACCATAATTAACATAAAAGCTAACAAGCACAAAGAAAACTAGTAAAGTCAGCATGAAAATGAGAACAAGATGTCAGTAGCAGCAAGTGATTTTGAAAGGTTTCTGCAGTCTACTCAGGGTAAGCATTAGCATAACCTTCACTGTTACACCCTTTCAAAGTCTCAGTTGTAAAGACTGAGTTCAAACTTCCATAACAGCAATTGCTCAGCACAAACTTTGCAGTAGGCTGTTTAAGCTAAGTCATGTTTAAGCACAATAACAAAGAAAAAAGGTAGCTGCCAAGTTTTACAGTATCACCATTTATATATATAAATAATATTATATATATTTCATATTTATATATTTATATACATATATACATACACACACACACATATATAAATAAAAGATAGAGAGACAGAGATGAAAAATTTAGGACTCTGATATGCCCATATCTGAGAAAGATAACTGCACGGCTTCATACGATCTTTTCTTCTAAGCTTAAGTACGTTTCACATCGCTCGACTACCAATCTATTACTTTTTTGATGGTTTTCTGAAAAAACACCAAGAAAAAAAAATTCTCTTATTTGAAAAGAAATATATACTATTTAACTAGAGAAAAGTCTGCCAAAGGTGGGGAGCTCTAAGAAGTGAAGAGTTCTACTTCTGTCCTGCACAGAGCAGTAATTCACCAGTCAAGCAAATACTTTATCAGGGCACGTTGATAAAACAGAGCAATTCCTGTTTTGTGGCTTAATACCTGAGGTACTGGTGCTTAGCTCACTACTTGTACTTTCTAACGATGGACTGGAAGTTCTCTCTTTCCCTTTTTTTAAAAACAGCACATGAAATGCATTTTGACTGGACAAGGTAATCACAGTTTCCTACAAATAGCAGATAAGGCAATCGCAAGAGCTCTTCAAGAGTACCTCACAAATGAGCCATCACTGATGCCTATAATAAATGCACTGATTTGAAGAAAATGCTGGGCCACTCCATCAAAGTCTCTTGCCTATCAGTGATGAATGTCAGATACTTTAAAGCATCTTATTTGAAAATATCCCACTCCAACACCAGCCTTACCTTATAAAAAGTAAATTAAAAAAAAGGGAGAGGGAGCAAGCTTTCTCCTGAGGGTGTGAATTTAAGTCACAAACGTTCCTGTAAATTTGTTCCTTAGGTACTACAGTGATATGAATAAAAATATAACAAATGGTCACTGGATATAGTGGAGATAACTTCTTTCATACATAATCTGATTTTTGAGGAGGAACTTGAAACTACAGTACAGATTCTGTTATTTCCTTACCTCAATTTAAAATGAGTTATCTTTTAGTTGTGCAGGTAGGCTTTAGGAAAACAACATAAATCCAAGTACAACTGTAGTGTACAACTTGAAGTGTAGTGGATTACACTTCAAACCAGTTAGCAAACTGAAGAAAGTTAATCTAGTGTGCTATTTCCTGTCCAGTAAATCTAACTGCTTTCAGCTATCAGAGCTCAGCAGTATGATGTGCACTTCAGAGATGTCTTCTGTAAGTCATTTTCTCGACTCACCTGTCTTGTACCTTTGAGATCTACTTCGCTTCCTTAAGCTCGAGCACCTGATTAAAGAGCAGTATTGTCTGGATGCTGCAAGCTGATGTTCTGTGAAAAGATAAATTTAAACACAAAAACATTACCAAATAGCTGGACAGGACACAAACACGAGTGCTTGTCTGCCTTGATGAGTCTATCTACATATACATCTACATAGGCAGAGCACTGATGGCAAACCTACAAACAAAGGAAATGCACTCGATCTCAGCTAAAGAGCTCTTCTGCAGTAAAGTTTAAAACAGCTCCTCAGAGTAATTTGGATGTGATTCAACTAATACTGTGTTTTTTCACCTGTATATCTAATACTGCTTGGAAGGGATTGTACCTTCCACACACTCCTAGCGAGTACAACTACGCAGAAAAATAGGCCAAGTCCAAGCCTGTACACAGCTAGAAACAGGCAAAAAGAGTAGGAATGAGAACAGTAAAACAGGTGTTTCGGGAAAACCATAATGACAAATCAAATCCACTCGGTTCCCCAGTACTACCAGGTAATAAGAACCCTAACCTAGTCAACAATTCTGAAATTGAACAACTAATAGGGTGCGATCCCTGGGACAAAAATTTTAAGAGACATGCAGTGTCAAGGAAAGTCAGCTGCCTTTCCTTGGAAGATATTCTCCAAAATAATTATCCTCATTTGTTGACAAAAATTAACACGAAACAGTACAGAACCCCACAGAAAGCTACAGTCCTTTTCAACATAAAGGCTGAGCACTGTCTACTGAAACATTCATGAAACCGGCCAAAAGAAATCACCTCAGAGGAACCTACTCCAGAAGAGTTAATCTCCTCAACTACAGCATACCAAAACATTTCTTAGAAATTGTAGACTTGTTCCTGGATGCTACTCTTCTCTTGAGCTCCCCAGCCCCATCAAATCTACTCCTTTATAAGGGTAGCCTTCAGAAATGGTTAAACACAGGTCTGGAAAGGCCCCTCCTTGGATCATTTGAGCTTAGCATAATGAGCGATCAAATCAGTCATCCCCAGATTCTCTGAACTCATCAGATACGGGACTGTCACCAGATTCTTCTGAGAACAAAGCCCATCTTTCAAGATCATCATTCACCTTTCATTGAAGGTATTAATCTGAAAGGGCCAGGCCAGTGAGACATCAGCTCTCTACCAACAGCGTAAATAAAGTCAAATCTAAGGCAAGTCTGGAACTGGTTTTGCTACCAGTGACTGGGGAAACTGCTTTCCTGCCTCTTTAACAAGGGCAGGCTACACCTAATAAGCAGACAGGGTCTGCAGCAAAGAAAAGGGAGTGCCAAGTCAGCTGCTGCAAACTTAAGTCCCTTATGGAACCCCATACTGGCATGAACCCTGAAAACGGCAAAAAGGAAGTAGTAGCAGGGCAAACACTGGGAAGCCCTTCATGGCTTTCAGCTCCAAAGGAGTTATTTGCATTTTAAATATTTTACCATCCAGGCTGGAGATGCTATAAGGATGTTTTGAAGATACCCCTTCCTAAGGGCAGAACAACAGCTAGGAGGCAGCAGGGGCCTGTTTTAGTACTGCCATTCTGAAGGGACTGTTATCAACAAGGGCTGAGATGATGCGATTCCAGTCACACAGCTGTGATTATGAAACTAACACTGCCAGGTTGAGGTCAGTGCCAAACTTGCACCTGTGCACTTCAGCCAGACCTCCAGAATCCAAATGCCCTTCCCTCTGCCAGCCAAGCTCCTGTGCTTGGAGGGCTTGATGCCCAGGCTGCTCCGCTACCTGGTCTTTCTTGGAACATGGACTCTGCACAGTTTGAGATACACAATAAGCCACAGCACGATATGAGCAAAAAAACTGATGGCAGCAGTGCTAGGAAGTGGCAGGATACTCCTGAGGAGTGGTCTGCATCCCAGAATAACAAAACTCTCTGCGAGATATGTTTCTAACACGTGCTCTAAAATAAATCAACAACACACCTATGAGTGAGATGGCACTATCTGGCTTGCATTGGATTTTACATCTTTTTGCCCCTTTGTATCACTGTACTGTCAACAAAACTTGTGACTGAAGAGCAAGATGACAGGCAAATTGAAGCAACGTGTCCAAGTAGAGAAGGGAAAAAAAAAAAAGCCTCAAGCTTTTTAAAAATAGAATAGAGATCACTCCCACTGAACAACAGCGGAAGAACCAGGTGATCTTTAAGTAGGGCACCCTCTCATTCACCAAAACATGCCTCTTCAATGATACGCTCAGGGAATTTAGTCTTGAGGGCGTTGCCTGGAGAGCTGTAACAGAACAGCACCTAAAGCTACAGCTTTCTAGCTGTAACTAGAAAGCACCTAATACGAACCCTACCTGCGTTTCTGTTACTCATCACCACCTTGTATCGCCAGTGAGCTTCAGAAAGATATTTGGAAAACTGTAACACACGACTCCCAAAACTATCTCTGCTTGCAGAAAGATTCAAGCACTCGACAAGCTCTAGCTCTTCACGAAGCACATTACTGGAGTCCCACGGGAGAGAACTCTGAATTTCTTCCAGATGGTTGAGGAGCAACGTGAGGAAGGCATCCATGGCCACGTCATCCACTAAAAATCCAGTGACACCACTGGTAAAGTGTTTCAGATCCAGGTAGCTCTGCTGAGAAGATTTACAGCTTTTGCTGCTCAACTCTGAGTCAGGAAGAGCTTGAGTATTTGAATGGACTGCCTGAGCAGCTGGCAGGTGCCTCCCTAATTTCTTGCCAGCCTCTGTTAGGTGCTGTGGACTTTCTGAGGTAGAAGACCGTCGGCTAGCACTGTCTTCCACACTCACAGCACAACTCTTTTTGTCGAGATCGTCATCCTCTACATAGTCCTCAGGTTGGAGAGTCTCAGTGTGGAGATCGCTGCAGGAAACAAAAAGCAAGGAGAAGATGTTCTCCAGAAGCTCCAGGCGCAGAGGAGCAGGAACACTCCTTAAGAACTGCTGACATTTCACAAGGTACTGAGGAAAGACTGATGAGCAATCTGTATGTGTAGAAATAAAAATAAGAACGCTTACAACATTTTCCAGGACTTCTTTCCTCCCACCTCTGCCCTCCAAATAAATCCTACAGTAGGAGACTGTCCCAGCGTTTCAGAGGTGATCATTTCTCTACAAATCAAGTACCTACATGTTCAATGTTTTACATTTGGAAGACCACTGTGCCTCCTCCCTCTTAGCAGTTGCAATCATTACCTTGTGCAATGAAGTGCAGGTTCAGACTACACCTATTTTAACTATTAAATCAGTTTTGGCTCTGGGAAATGAGCTCTTACAAAAGCATGCTTGCCACAACTCACCTATATCTAATATCACTTTCTTCTTGCACTGCGTTTTTTATACAATTACCTGCCTTGTTCTAAATCATTTAAGGTAGCTTATCCATATCCATTACTACTAAAGGTAACAACACCTCACAGAAATGCCAATAGATATGTTTGCAAAGCGTTCATAGCCCACTGAGTAAAAACATTATGTTTGTGCAGGGTGTACTATTACCCTAATACTAAGTGACAATTCAGAGCCCAGCAAATACAGAAACAGAAGCTAACGAACCCGAGAAAGCAGGCCGATCACCTGCAGGTTCTTCAGGAGGAGTTGAGTCTTCCGGGATATCACCAAGAAGGCTGCGTACGCAATCTTTGCACTTGGAATGTCTGTGTGAATTCACACAGAGAGCATAGATAGCATACTTCATGGCGCAAAATGCTCGAAAGAGCGCCAGATTGCGTTGCTGACTCAGGATGTTAGGAACCGATGCCACTGTGGAGGGAAATAAGGGTGCGGGGCAACAAGGGGAACAGGAAAAAAAAAAAAAAAAAAGAGAGAACAAAAGGTTAATTTCCCTCCTGCTGTTTTCACGCAGCAATGCTTTCCTGCTTTCTTCCTCAGAGTCAACTGCATCCCAGCTTTGCTGTACCCCGCCATTACTTCACAACAAGAAAGGGGAAAAGGAAAAAAAGATGAATACAGAAAAATCAAGTCTGAATCCCCTTTCAGAAACGGAAATTTTCTGCCAGTTTGTATTGCAGGACCAGGTTACAACACAGAACAATCAAAATGGGCTCATAAATAAGTCTCATTACAGGTATGTGGTTAAATGTGCTGCTGCACTTACAACACAAGGCCCTATCTGTTTCCAGCAACCTAAAATTTGTGTACTAATACACAATAAATTAATAGATAGTGTATAGACTGGCCGTGACCGTGATGAGACTAGAGTACCATCGCTTCTACAGATTTGTACTAATGCATAGAAACTGCAATTTGATTCTATCCATAATGGCTTGCCAAACCAAAGACACATAAATGGCCACTGAAAAACAACCAAACCACATCCCCGCACAACAACAACAAAAACCCCCATGTGATAGGCATAAAGGCAACTTAGAGAAGCACTACATGAACCACTACTACTTCCTTTTTTTTTTTTTTGGGAGAACAGAAAAGGTGTCACATGCTAGAGACATGGTCCCTTCTTACCACAGTGAAACAGCAGAGCTGCAAATAACATACAAGATGTATCATCACTCCCTTCACCCAGGGACACAATATAGAGTCATATGCTCTGTCATTCTGATTTTAGATGAACTATCAAACTACTATGCAAAAGTTGTCCCAAAAAAAGAAGGAAAAAAAAACAGTGACAAAACTGTTAAATCAGTATTCGTATCTGCTATCCTACGACATTCTTATACAAAGCATACGCTGTCCCTCTGCCTCTTGGTCATGCAGGGGAAGCATTCATGATGTTTTTTTAAACAGAGCACTGGTAATGTACTGGTATTACCCCCATCCAAACATGGGGGCTGAACAGCATTATCTAGAAATGTTTCAGCACTGTCACCCACATGGCTTGAGCATAGTTTCAAAGAAAGACACCAGCATGAACTCATCTCAAACTACAAAAAACCCAAGACAGAAAACCTGAGTGCACAGTTTGAAAGCGATTATTCCCTGTCACTGCAATTCTAAACAGCAGCAATAGCAGAAACTATAATGTACACAGCAGACAGAACTGAGGAAATACCCAAAGATGAGTCCTGCTCAGAACCTAAAAAGACATGGTAACGCCATAATTCACTAGGAGCTCTACACTAATATGTAGTATCTGAAAAGTTCTCACCACTGCTGTCTCATAAGAGGACTTCAGGCTACTGAAGCCAGAGATTTGACAAACAGAAGTCTCTGAAAAGAACCAGGCTTTGCTGGAGATACCAGGCTTTGCTGGAGATACCAGGCTTTGCTGGAGATACCAGGCTTTGCTGGAGATACCAGGCTTTGCTGGAGATACCAGGCTTTGCTGGAGATACCAGGCTTTGCTGGAGATACCAGGCTTTGCTGGAGATACCAGGCTTTGCTGGAGATACCAGGCTTTGCTGGAGATACCAGGCTTTGCTGGAGATACCAGGCTTTGCTGGAGATACCAGGCTTTGCTGGAGATACCAGGCTTTGCTGGAGATACCAGGCTTTGCTGGAGATACCAGGCTTTGCTGGAGATACCAGGCTTTGCTGGAGATACCAGGCTTTGCTGGAGATACCAGGCTTTGCTGGAGATACCAGGCTTTGCTGGAGATACCAGGCTTTGCTGGAGATACCAGGCTTTGCTGGAGATACCAGGCTTTGCTGGAGATACCAGGCTTTGCTGGAGATACCAGGCTTTGCTGGAGATACCAGGCTTTGCTGGAGATACCAGGCTTTGCTGGAGATACCAGGCTTTGCTGGAGATACCAGGCTTTGCTGGAGATACCAGGCTTTGCTGGAGATACCAGGCTTTGCTGGAGATACCAGGCTTTGCTGGAGATACCAGGCTTTGCTGGAGATACCAGGCTTTGCTGGAGATACCAGGCTTTGCTGGAGATACCAGGCTTTGCTGGAGATACCAGGCTTTGCTGGAGATACCAGGCTTTGCTGGAGATACCAGGCTTTGCTGGAGATACCAGGCTTTGCTGGAGATACCAGGCTTTGCTGGAGATACCAGGCTTTGCTGGAGATACCAGGCTTTGCTGGAGATACCAGGCTTTGCTGGAGATACCAGGCTTTGCTGGAGATACCAGGCTTTGCTGGAGATACCAGGCTTTGCTGGAGATACCAGGCTTTGCTGGAGATACCAGGCTTTGCTGGAGATACCAGGCTTTGCTGGAGATACCAGGCTTTGCTGGAGATACCAGGCTTTGCTGGAGATACCAGGCTTTGCTGGAGATACCAGGCTTTGCTGGAGATACCAGGCTTTGCTGGAGATACCAGGCTTTGCTGGAGATACCAGGCTTTGCTGGAGATACCAGGCTTTGCTGGAGATACCAGGCTTTGCTGGAGATACCAGAGGATAAACTTGCATCAAATTGCTAGTGTATAATAGTTTTGTCTCCTTCATGGAAGGACTTAGATGCAGGGCATCTGTAGCAACAGTTGTGCTTAAACCAACCCTTTTCCTTGGAACTGCTGTGTAACTATAAGCACTTGCTTTTCCTACCCCAGAAATATTAACACTTTATTCTTGAATTATATAACTAATGGGGAAGTTTCTGGCCATCCTTTTTTTGTTGGCATGATGGATCACAAACTTGTCTGATCTGAGGGGTGTCTGCACAGAGCTGTCAACAAGTACCACTTCTTCAGTTTCATTTTTGCTGCTAACAGGTAGATGTGTGTCAGGATGAAGAGGAAGCAAGTGGGGTGAGGGGAAGAAAAAAAAAAAAAAAGCCTGTTGACACTTTCACATCAGACAAACCAAAAACTTGAGAACTCCTCTCCTTCCTTTAAATTTCAGAATATATTACTATAAAGGGGATTCTACTAAACAGTTTATGGAAGTGTCTGACTTTTACAATAGTCACTGGGCTGAAAAGAAAGGAAGGATTTGTCCTCTATTAAGTAGTTCTGTGAGTTAAAGTGATCCAAAAGGAGAGAAACTAGAGCTAGAATGCTTTGCCACAGCCACGAAGCTCCCAGACGATCCGATGGGCCTACCTCTTCCTGTCTTTGAAAGATTTCTGACAGAATTCCAGGAGCATAGAATTAAAACATGAAGACTGATTAAAAACTCAATATTACCACCAAAACCATTAATTTTAAAAAGCAGGACACTAAGGAGATTGATACACAGTCTCAGTCAAAGACTTCTTAAGACTTATTCAAGACAGTTATAATTTAACAAGGCCAGTAAAAACAAGCTGGAAACCACTATCTCAAATGGATACTGAAAGCAGAGAAAACTGCTTCCCATTAGGCAGCTTGGAAAAATCTGTGTAAAGACACATCACTAACAGATGTCAATGTAACTCAAGCTGACATTACGCATGTAAAAATCCCTATCCATAAATGGAATAAGGTGCAAAAAGTTACAGCTTTCTAGTCTCCAACAAATTTTAGTCTTCCTGACTAGTCTTCCATTACTAAGAGAGACCCTGTCAGAAAACAGTAGTAAAATAGCAGCAGCCTGACTTAGACACAGGCCTAAATCAGAGAGCATAACATGGGCACACTCACTTAAAACTGCAGTGTGTTCAGCAATATCTGATATTTTGAGCACTGGAGGGTAAGAGGGAGAGAATTGGAGGGTAAGAGGAAGAGAGAAATGAGGAGAGGAGGATGTAAAGACAGCTTGTAGGATAAGCCTTACAGATTGTATTATTAAAGTCGATTTTTTAAGGCTTAATATGAGAATAAATGCATTTTTAAAAATGAAGATATTACACTGATAAGATATTATCAATGTCATTTGGTTTTGCTCCAGTGTTGCCTGAAATCCAAAACATGCACTTAACATTTCAAGCTAAGGGTATTACAAAACACATAAGTGACAACGAATGGCACATAAGATATTTTTAGAATTACATCAGTTTTAAGTAACACAACAAGGAAGCTCCTACATTGTTTTTTTTTCCTGAAACAGTCTGGTAAAAAGTATGCACATGTTATGAGCATATGCAAAGTTTTGCTATCATCTTGAAAAGGCTTTCAAGGGCCTTTTCTTCGATAAAGTGCCTGATAAATGGTATTTTTCCGATTTAAAAAAGCAGGTCAGAAGAACAGATTCTTTCTGACAGAAGCATAGAGCAGCACACACTTTGATGGATCAGGGATATTCCCGTGTTCTCACAATCCTACACATTTACCCTGCATCTGTTGGTCTCTAGCAGGAACCTTTTGAAGAAGCTCAATGACATCATCTTCGTTCAGTGCCAGTATGTTCGTGAGGTGATGAAGAGTGTACACTGCAGTGTGGCAATCTAGACCGTGCAAGTGTTGCAGAAGAACCTTATTTGGGATAGTAATACTGCAAGAGAGAACAAACAAAAAGGTGGCATAAATAGACTTGGACCTCTCAATCATGTTGAAAGATCTCTCTCTCATGCTAACTCCGATTCAACTAAATCACTGCAATTAAAAAGAATAAAAAAAATAGCATAACTAACATCCAGGAAGCAATTTCAAGAGCCTGTGATAGTCACTAGGAGACTACTAGCCCAGAGTCACAGAAAGAACACACTTTCTATTCGCTTATATAACTTTGACTAATAGGCAGCTTTGGCAAGACAGTTTGGAAAAAGTTCTGACTGTTTTACCTGTTTTGCTGTATGCACCATTCAACGACTTTCACCTGAGCCCAGAGTCCATCACAGAAATCTTTTAATACTGAGTCATTGCACAGATCCTAAATGGAAAGGCAAATAATTTTTGGTAAAAGGGATTATTTTATCTAGTCAAACACAACAGCAGAACCAAGCCTGTATCACATATGGGATGTTCATAAAAGTTACCCTATGGATAAAGGAGTCTTAAGTGCCAAAAATTGCCAGCTTTGTAACAAAGACAAAGATAAAGGAATACCTGAAGGAGAAAAGTCTGTCAGCCTTCACTTGACATACTTACAGACCACAGGAAGACAGCTATGTCCCTGTTCAAGTTCAGCTCTCAAGAAGAAGATCAATGCTTTCTAATGCTAGTCCAGAACTTTAACTCCTAGAACTAATAATGTCCCAGACCAAATGCTATACTGGGTAGCAGATACTCATTTTCCTTTTCCATGTGCTTTTCTATTACAGACACCTGCCTGCTAAAATCAGACCAAGACATTCACTTTACAGAGGCTACTGAATAGGCATTAGATAGTAACTCCATTAAGGCAATAACAACCTAGGTTAGATCTGCCCCAATGATCCAGCAGCGTAAGGCTCCCTCTCTCACAACCTCTGCCTTCCAAGCCACATGCCTGCAGGCAGCCATCACTGAACTGCAGCTGCACCTCCAGAGGTAGAACTATCTGACTTCTTCAAAGAGGAAGACTTGGGAACAAGGTGGATCTTTCAGTCATAGCCCTCGTTATTTGTGTCATGTAGTTGATTTTATTCTGGGAATGCACATAGGAAATTTCTTAGCTCCCCCATTACTGAACTCAGATCAGTTGTGACTAGAACTTGTCACTATCCAGTGCTTGTCCCTGGGGCCAAGTGATGTTGCAAAGCGTCCTCCTGCTCCTTCCAAAACCAGAGTCAACTGCTGGTGCTCTCTGGCTCTCTCTAGTATAAACAATAAAGGGCTGAACAGGTCACATAAGGCGAGCTTTCATAATTTCCAGGGCAATCATATTCAGATCATAGCTGAGCAAAAAGGCAAATACCCTTTTCAGGAAAATCAAAACGCTCAGAAGAAACTCCCCATTTTATCTTTGATTGGAAGAAAATTCACAGTTCAGATTCTCACAATTTCAGGTTGTAACATGGCTTTTTTTTTTTCTCCTGTACACCAGGATAAAAAAAGAGTCAGAAACCCAACTAACAACTTAAGTAAACAAACTGAATTAACTGGATTCAGACTGAGGGCACAGCACTTTAACGTTCCCACTTGCCTTCGCTGACAGCTTACCCGAGTTTTGTGAAGAGCCCTTAGCAATGCTTTTGCCGATTCCAAGCTACGACAGTGAGTCCATCCTAGCAAGACCAAAAGGCGACTGAGGGGGTTGAATTCTCTCCTCAGTAAGCTGTTCAGGCCTGAGAAGTCTTCTCTTTTCAGCAAAGCTAATGCAGTCACCTAGAAAGCAAAAGGGAGAAATATTTATCTTTCTAAAACGCAGAGTTACGAACGTAGCAATTTACGTGAGGAGCTGTTTCAGCATTAGCTTTGCAAAAAGGGTGAGGTTCTGCATTTGGAAGTTTCCTAAGCTCATATTTTACAAGCCATCAGGTTACTCCAAATGTTTGCTACAGAACTGACTCACACTCCCTCACTACACTATCACTGGTTTCTTTCTACTGAGTAGATCTCTATCAAGGGCTTTATGTAAGAATCTTGAATCAGTAGCTTAACCCAGAAGTGGAGCTACGTTCATACCAGTGACTGCTAGGCTTCTGTTTCTTCTCTCCATGTAAATACATCTGAATAATTTAATTTGTACCAGAGTATTTTTCAGCAGATCTTTAAGCTCTTTACAAACATTAATTTCACCTTGCAAACCCTTTCAAAAGCCTCATTGCCTAAAGTCTATCAGCTTCACAAAAGCCAAGTGACTAGTCCAAGGTCATGGGGTAAATCAACAGGACTAGCCAACAAAATTGCACGCAGAACACAGGACTTCCTATTTCCTCAAGATATAATGTTCAGTCTGCATGCAGAGCACCATTTCCAAAATCTCACTGAACACTCCGAGTCCATCATACAGTTAAATTTGAGGGGAGTTATCATCAGTTAACTCCTTGTTCCCAGAAGTCATGACTCCTAGTAAGTGTTATCAGAATATAAAATGCCTCTGCAAGTCATTAAGATATCTGGAATACAGGGACTGACGTTAGCCACCACTGGGTTTCCCTTTTAATGACTTTATGGCCATACCAGAATCTGTTCCAGAAAGTGCTTGCTGCTGCTCAAGCAATAGAAATAGGCAGCCTTCCAAGAAGCAGCCTCTTTGGGATCTGAGAACAAGGTCATCACTGCTCGCTCTGTGTCCAGCTGCTCAGATGAGCCTGAAACACATCGGAACAAGATTATCTTTCAGTACAGAGGGGTACCTTTGAAAGAAGCACAGTCGCTGTTAATTTGAACTGAGCAACACCTAACATTTCCTGAAATACTAACCAGCTATTATATGCTCATGTAGGTTGCTTGCATTAGCTCAGGTCTACAGAGCAGGATCACTTTGCATTTCTTCCTCCTCTCTCATCATACACATTTTATCTGCATGTAGCTTAACGTTCACTTCTGTACTGTGACACTGCGCTGCTTTGCAGGCCCTAGCAAAGGCTTGCTCGGCATAGGAACTTTTCCGATCTGTGCAAAATGAGAATTCAAGCACTCTCAGTGAGAATGAAGGTGTTTATATCTCTATTTCTTTTCCCCCACGAGGGAGCACTATCTGTAGTTATGGTCAGAAATGCCAGAGCCCACTGGCCTTCACTGGCCTGAACTTCGCTTCAGCAATCCCTAGGAGTGACAGGAACCTTTGGAAGAGAGAGGATACGAACCCCACTGACTCACACCTCCATGTACAGAGGCAAGCAGAAGAGGGTAGGTATTCTAGCCTTTCCTTTCTTGCATGTTCACCTGCCACTTTCCTGACAAGAACACGGGTACTGCTTCCCACCCAGCTTCAACTGAGCGCTTCAACTGAATGTACCAGACCTAGGGAGCTGGAGAGAAGCTATAAAGTTACAGTTGGTGTCCAAACAACGGTAGGGTGCTGGCAAAGTCCCAAGTGACAGGACTGAATCCTCTTTCCAGCTGCAGTATCGGCCTGTTGCATGTCTCTTTCCAGTTCTAAGTTTTACTTTCCAATATTAAGGTGTTTGAATGTGTCAGAATTACTGAGGCAGTTGAACTGTTACTGGCCTGAAATGGAACCTTCTCCAACATGGATGATCCCAAGCTGGAGCTGAACCAATAAAAAACGACTTTACATATGTACAGAGAGCCAGTTTTCTAGTTACAAGCAAGATGTCCAGCAGGACAAACACTGAGGAAATTAAAACAGAGCACATCAAGGGATGGGAAAGGAAGTGCTCTCACAAGAAGGCAGCACAGACTACAGAAATGTACAGAGGGATGCCAGATTCTTACTTTACATCATTTTTTTACACCAAGATAGCTAGCCCGGTTAGCACACCTGAAAAAGAACACTGCCTGATTCCATAGTAACTTGCTCATTTAAGGTCTCAATGGTCTTATTAGAAAGAAATCAAAACAAACAAAGAAGTGAAACAAACCTTTTGACTTTGACCCCAGGAATTTTTCTCTTGTTCTTTCTACAAGAACACTGCTATACGTGCTTAACAGGCCATAGCTCTGTTTCCTCAGCATGCAGCTTAGTATCTTCTCCTCCCTCAGTGGGCTTCCTTCAGCCCAGCACACATCTAAGAGCTCCCTGAAGAGGTGCCGTATTTCATCAGTCTGATGCTCCATCTCAAAATTCACCATACTAAGAGCACCATAAATTGTATCTACTAGTTCTCTTTGATCCAGTTCTGCTGAAATCTCAGAATTGCACTGAAGCCTCCTCAGAGATTTTAAGGATTCGCAAAGAAAGTCAACAAAGATATTTTGCAGAGAGGAATATTGCTGGAGTGAGGAGCTGTGTGCGCCTTGTTCCTCCTGGAGGAACTCCAGCAGGGCTTGTGCCCTCTGGGGAGCCCGCAGCAAAAGCTTCCGGAGAGCTGAAACAACGTCCAAACTGAATCTGTGAGAATGGCCATCTTTTCTTTTCCTGTCTGCGATGTGTTTGTCCTGGGTGCATTCAAATGCTTCAAATAGTTCCTGGCAGGGGAATAGCAGAAGAGTAAGCCTTTTGGACTTCATAAAAGAACATGAAATAAATACACTGAAAAACAGGAGAAATTTGAAAGCAAGTAGATAAAATCAGTTTGAAGACATCAGATTACCTAGGAAACCCATTAATAAACAGGAAGTACCAACACTGGTCTGTCTTGTCCAATATCCTCTCTAAAATAGCAGACATGCAATAAAACATGAAGAACTTGTATATTATACAACTACAATATGTGAGCCATGCACTCATAAGCAAGTACCTTAATTCCACACAGGCAGCTCCTACAGTGTGGCTGAGGCACTACTCTATACCTTATCAACACGTTCATGTGTCTGTATCTTCATAAGCCAGTAAGGGCACGATGATTTAGCGTCCAGTCCACTTTTTTTTTTTAATACTAGTTTCCCACTTGCAAACCATCCATCTACCAATCTTCCACCCACATCATCCTCATCAACAATGATTTTTCAAGTTTGGTTGAAATTGGCCAATGGATTCAGAAGCAACCTCACTGACTTCTCTATTAAGCAACAACAATTTTTATGAGTAACAATTCAGCAGCAAGGAAGAAAAGGAAAAAACAGGAAAAAAACCTCAATGCAATTAGTGACTGAGGGGTGGTAATGCGAGGCACAGTCCAAACACTGAATCTTCTAGTTGGTGCCCGTTGAATAGCAGCTAAGCAGCACTTGTAGCACGTAGCTCTGGAGCTACGCGTGAGTTGTCCTTCTGGAGGACATGTCTCAGATAACACGAAGGAGAGAGGTGGCTGGTGTGCGTAAGAATGAGGAGAATATTAGGAGCAGAGGACAAGTCCACAATGTCCTCCTCTACTTGCTGGATCAAAACATAACTCTACCTGTTACCATGCCTCTGACACGCACTGGTGATGGAGATGAAGTTTAATGAACCTCCTATTTTTATACAGTACTGCAGATAATGGTGAACTCTTCCATAACCTTGAAGGTCAGATGATAACGTCCAAAGTCATTATTAGACTTCAAGCAGATTTATTTTAAATCATCAGTCAAGTTTGCCTTGCTTGTTTTCCTTCTGTAATTGTTAATTCTATATCTTTATAGAAATATTTAATACCTCTTCCTTATTCATACTATCAAGCTGCAAATAGTCTCTGAACATAATCAGTTTCCATTTTAGTCTTAAAAAAAGCAAACAAAAATTTCTTCAAAGAGCTAGAACATATAAGACTAGAAGAGACATTCTAGGACATTGAGTACTATTTCAGATACTGCATCAAGTAATTCTGTTGTAACCAACACCAAATTAGGAGACTTCTAAAGTTAGAAACGCTCCTGATTTTCAGCCCTATACTTGGTTTTCATTTTAATCACTCTTTGAATGGTTCAATGTATTTCTCAAGTAAATCAATCTGTATGTATTAGTAATGGAAAATTTGGTCCTAGACCTTCATACAAGGACAAGTCATACTGGTTACCAAATAATGTCACTAACAATAGCACGGCACTCAAAAGTTTCCTGTGGGGATAAGATGGAAAACGAGACTTTAAGAGAGAGAAAAAAAATGGTCATGCTTTTAAAAGGTGTTTTCTGACTATAATTTCTTTTTGCTCAAATTTTTTTTAAACTTTATGATTATCACAGACATCTGTAGATGCAAGGCTGTGGCAAAAAGCCAGAGTCAGAACTGAAGAGTGTTAGAAAGACCATGTAAAAAAGCTCATTGATTGCCTGTCTACAGTCCTCTCTAGCCAGAAAAATCACTTTCAGGCACATTAACTTCAAAAATTGAGCCGAATTATAGTCACAGAATCACAGAATGGCCAAGACTGGAAGGGGTCTCTGGAGGCCTCATCTAGTCCAACCCCCCTGCTCAAGCAGGGTCCTCTAGAGCACACTGCACAGGATTGCATCCAGGTGGGTTTTGAATATCTCCGGAGAAGGAGACTCCACTACCTCTCTGGGCAACCTGTTCCAGTGCTCAGTCACCCTCAAACAGTCTCTTTCAGCGTGCTAGAAGCATGATAAGACATCACCATCGCAGGCAGTCAAGTTAGCAGAAAGCATTAACTTTGACCCCAATGACTGATAAAGAGAAGCTGGACACTCTGAAAAATGAATAAGAGGAAGTAAGACAGCACTCACTTTTAGAACTTCCTCAGAGACATCTTTCTGTAATTCTTCCAAGAGCAGCAAAAATTCAGTTTCTCTCTGCAGAGCAACTGGAACAGTTTTCTGAAACAAAATAAGCAAATAGGGGAAACAGTTAATTAGTTTAACTTGTACTTATCTATATTATCATGTAAACCTAATTTCAGCTATTTAATTATCATTTGAGGCAGACTGAAATATCTCTCTGAAGATATCTAACTCTCAGTTAAAGACTATTTCACATCTAGGTTCTGCTTCTGCACCAATATATACATGTGGAAACAGAGACAAACGTCACAGTCCCAGGAATTATAATCCCACCAATTAAAGACATCTTTCCTAACAGGGTGATGAAAAATCGCAAGTCTTTAAGTAGTGAGATCAATGAACAAATGAACTGGGAAGGAAAAAACAAAAAACAAAAAACCAACACATGAACACACATCCCATTGTACCAATTCAAAAAAGAGGAAGAAAGACTAGTTTCTCTTCTGCCCGTGAAACATCCCGCACCCATCTATCTCCACCCACCAATCCAGCAAGCACAAGCTGTACTCTCTCTATAGCTAAAGCTTATGAAGAACTGTCTGATGCCTGAATTACTTTAAGAATGTGTTACACAAATGCAGAAGTTTATCAGCTCATACTTTCCATTAACAGAAATGCTCTACACTAAAAAGCCAACTTATATTACCTAAACAAATGTAAAAAGGTCCTATTTTTCTCTTGGGCATGCAGAAAGGAAAGCAGCTTGTTAAGATTAACAGTTGTTTCTTGGCATGTTTGTTAAAAACAAAAGCAAAAAAACGATCCCATGCACCTCTCAAACTACCCCGAGAACCGACTTGCACGAACAGTGGGAGAGCCTATAATTTTAAATAGGTAACTAGATTGACTATTTTCCGCTTGGAGGTCAGCGAGAACAAACTTCTGTACCTGATTGCAAGCAAGCCATTTTTCCAGCACAAGAAGCCAAAGCCACGCAATTCTTTGAGGGCTGCAGTTCTGTTCACATCTACAAAAGGAATAACCACACAGGATGGATTATATAACATTGTCCACCATCTCTTAGATCCTGGAAAACAGTCAGAGATCATTTTGATCTTTATATTTCTTTGTGTATGATAAAAATAAAGATGACCAAGTATTTAAAGAAGAGTGAAACAAAAAGAGAACGCAGAGGATATAGAATATTGGTACTACTTACATGTTAACTTGACAGTTTCTGCTATGCAAGTAACCGCTTTTGAACGTGCCAAACACGAATACTATCGCCACAGTTCTTTCCTTCAAAGCTCTGGCATTTATTTCTGGTCTAAAGTTCAGTCTGTTCAGTCTTTGAGCACTTCAGCAGATTTCTCTGAAACTTGAGCGCTTGCCAAGCCATGCTATTTCCTGTTCTTTCTAGTTCTAGCCTCCAAAACCAAACCAACTCTTAGCTCACAACAGCACAGATGCAGTTCTACGTCCAAATTAAAAGTGAACTATTGTGCCAGTTAAGCAGAGCATACTTTCAGTTTCCATCAGCTCCCATACATGTACGCACCTTCCACAGTCTACACTGTTAAGGAACGTATTCAGTATTGACAAAGGGACTGGAAGAGAAGAAGAAAGCAGAAAGTATTTTACCAGCCTTCAGTAGTCTCATCCGTGTTAAGTAGAGTCTTTATATGCGATAGTACAACCAGCAAGGATAAAAGTGATCAAAAATACTCATGCCTCACACGGTCATTCACAATATTCATCTAACTATGTGCACACCTTCCTCTGGTCTCCTTTAAGGGCTGTCCTTCTAATGTATTGCTTAGAGTCTTCACTACACATTGCACAAGTCTTTGTCAGAAGAGGTGTTATCATTTGCTTGGAGAGGGGGCACGGTATTACGTTTTAACTTCCCTTGAACACCAATGTTCCCTCAAGAACTAAGAGATCAAAGTTAACTAGAAACAAACAAACAAAAAAAACCCCGCTGTTTCAAAATCCAGTATGAGAAAAATAAGAAACCAACAGCATAATTTTGGATTTTTTAGATTTCAAGTTTTTAGAACATTGAACGGTCTTTCTAGAGCTAGAAACAAGAGGACATTTCAAACAGCTGCGGCACCCGCCCACCTCGGGAGCATCATTTCCGAACTAACCAGAGCTCAGAACCGGCTCCCTCTCATCCCTTCGAGGAAGCCGAGCGAAATCAGCCCCGAAGCGCTTCCCGAAACTTTTAGAGCCGGTAGCAGCCCCCCAGGCCAGCGGCGCACACGACCTCCGCGGGCCGAGCC